TTCTCATGAAACCATAAATTATCGGATTTATTGCACTGCTGCTTACATAAGTAAAAATGTTTAACATATAGACTTGTCGTGGAAGTTTGTAGTAGCCAGCAATAACCTCATAAAAATCTATGATAACCGATGGAGTCCAACAGATGAAAAACGCGAGAATGGTAGCGAACAACATCGTTGTTATCTTGACCTCTTCGGCGAAGGCAACTGTGCTGTCGTCATCACGGAAGGAAGAAGATCTGACTTGGACAAAATGTGCACGAATTTTTCTGAGCACTTTGTAATAACTGAAGACGATTGGATTAAATGACACAGAGACAACGATTGAATAAAGAATGGCGCTGTATATACCGAGTTTGTCTTTAAGGTATATTGTCACAAAGCACAAGCATTTTCCAGGGTGAAAATAGTGCACTGTTTTACTGACGAAGTACGCAGAATAATTGAGAAAAACTGTGACAATCCACGATAGTGCGATGGAGCACAAAACGTTCCCTTTGCTGAATAATCTCCTGTAGAGAGGAGCAGACCGAGTAATCTTTACATAGCGATTAATGGCGATCATACAGAGAGTGAGAAGTGACACAGTTGAAAAAAGTGAAATCAAACTTCCTTGAAGCTGGCAAATGACATCACTGAAGTCCCATTTTCCTTTAATGGACACCGCAAGTGTAATGGGCATACAGACAACCGCGTTTAGGATATCTGCAATTGCAAGCGATACCAAGTAGAAATTCTGAGGACTGCGGAGCGATGGCGTGTTGCTAAATGCCAAGATAAATAACTAATTTCCCAGAAAGGCGGTTAATATGACTGTCAAATAGAGGGCAGATTCTACAATCGCCAGCCAACTCTCTCTGTTCTTGAGTGATATGGTCAGTAAGGCAAAGAGTTCTTGAGTTGAATTCATCATGCCTGTATACTCTGGGAATTAGCCATGAAATCTTTTAATTTTCCTCTCGTGACACCAGGTACCTGTTTCTTTTTTTTTTGACCAACAAAGAAGAACAAAATATCAGCCCTTCCTTAAAATCTGACCTGTAAGACACTCAGTAAATAAAAATACCCAAATGCAAATTATGTGTTCATTCAATTTTAAATCAATATCAGAATAAATATTACAGCAATATGTCTTTTTGCAGAAGAAACCCATCATCAGATGAAGCTCCAATCCCGCTGATATAGTCGATCAAACCTCATCGGAAACCTAATTCAAAACTGGTTCAAGAGACAATTCTCTTAATAGCAATATATTATAAACATGTTTACTTTTTATTCATAACATATTCTATAGACCACTCCATATTGTACTAACAGCTGCATTATTTGGGATTTAGGTAAAGTTGAGAAAAACTTACAACATTTCCAATAAAATCCGGCATCAATTGGGATGGTAGGTTCACAAAGTAACAAGTCTGAAAGGAGTTGTGTTTTTAAATCCCATCGCGTAAAATACAATTAATGTATTGGTTTTTAGCTTGCGTTGATATAATACCGTAAAAACAATTGTTAAAAGTACCTGTTCTATTTGATATCGGTCCATTTTACCAATGCTTTTAGCAGCCATTATGATTGCTGCATGCTGAAGAGATCCGTTTTAAATGAGAATGAATGAATCTGATTCGAAGTTGAATCTGATTCGACCTCTCACACAGAAGGCCAGAGCAGTTTAAACTAATATTCTTAAACCGCCAGTAACTCTTACTTCGGGGACGGTGCCTTGACACCTTGCGGAAAGAAGAGCATGACATAACTTCATAATCGGCAGCGCGCTTCTGTTAGTTTTTGCTAGGAGAGTGGGTAACTAGAAAATGTTAACGAACAGCATTCGATTGTATTTTTGGGAGAGTTAGGTGCGACTTAGGAGCGGACCATTTACCTTTGAGGCGGGGGGGGGACTGGGTAAGAATTTTTTTTTTCCAAAACCTGTGGTATACAACGGTGCAAGATTTTCTTCCCAACTTTTTCCAGTGTTGGAATTTTTTTCGCCAGGTATTTCCTTGCAAAAAATAAAAGTAAAAAAATGAATAAAAAATGTCAGCTCTCGGGTCTCCGTTTGGTCGAAAAATACACATCGCGCAAAATGCCTATTGTTCTCGGGACATTTACTTCCAGTTCAACAAAGTTCGTAGATCTGTCATATTACGCGCAATCATGCAGAGACTCTATAAAAGCGCTTCAGCCATTGGTTGCCAAGAATGCACGGCGAAGCTCATCAATATGTTGTAGGTGGCAAACTAAACAATGAACGCAGCACGCTATTGTTTTCTCCTTTTAGCTCTTTTGTTTCGCAAAATCGCGAATATGCGCATATTTCACAGTGAACGTTCAAATCATGAGAATCACTTTGCGTTATTTTGCCGGAATTTTGTTCAAAAATTAAACCACAGAAAGAAAGGTGAAATTTTCCATTTATTTTAGTGCGTGCGAGATCTCGATTATGTCGTAAATAAACTCGCTGCGAGGTGAGTAAAATTGAGCGCGGAATTCAGAACACTCGTGGCTGATTGTAATGTTTTGCTTCTCCATTCGAAAGATGTTAGCTCTTATAATTTTGACCCCCAAAAGCAATTTAACCAAAATGGCGGGTAAGTAACAACAAATGGAGGAACCATATGAATTTGTAAAGGGTTGTTAGGGTTTTCGAAGAGCTCTGAAAAGAGCTCCCGATCCGCGACATTTTTTTTTTCATGTTCATTGCAAGATTTGGTCGACAGGTGCAATGAACCAGCTGACGCAACGCGATCAGTTTAAAAGTTCGAGGGTTCTCTGGACCATTTTACAATAATAATAATTTTCTTAATTTAAGCATACCTGCACTGGAAAGTACATGCTGGCCATCACATCCACTTTTACTCGTTCTATTCATTGTACTGATCAAGCGTATACGCGTGGCAGATTGTGTTAATAAACTCTAGTGATTCTTTAATATATTTCAAAGTTCGTGGCACCAGCTAATGACATACTTCACAAGTGAGTGGTTTTCAGTGGCGTATTATTGTATTTGACAGCCACTGTTATTCATAGCGGAGCTCCACGCGCGCGCGAAGCGCGCGCGTGGACGGAGCCCCATTGCTAAGGAAATCTACCCATCCCAGAAAATTTGGTAATCACGTGACCGACCGACCGACCGACCGTCCTTCCGCACCACAGGCATACCAATGTTTACTGTCACACTTTCTAGCTACTTTGGGAGCCCAGGAGAAAGCTGATTGCACATCAATGTTGTCATCAATTGACAGCTGTCAAAACAGGGTATCCGCTGACCACTATCACCTGACCGAATCGCGGGCTCAGGTGTCGACCCATCGAGGTCGAGTAGTTTTTTGAAGTTATCCGCTGACAATTTACTCGTTTTCAAATGATCGCAGGCTCACGTTTACTTTTGTTTTAAATTCATATCAAATATGTTGTGTTTATGTCAGTATCGCCCCGCACTATTACGATTTTGATTTCAAACTGACTTCAGACGCAAAAATTCAGCCAGTGTTTTTAAAATACAGGCGGGGAAGACCTTTTCTTACCATGGGTACGTGTTGGTCACGCTCCACGTCCAATGTTTATGCTCTGATTGGTTAAAATTTGACAGGTGAGTTCATGCGTAAAATTTATGCAGCATCTTCAACGTTGTTTACTTTGACAGCTGAAGCTGACAGAGTTTTGAGTCAACTTGTGATGTTTTTAACTGTCTTTTTCCACTGGATGTACAAAATGAAATACAGCTGCTATCAAGAGTGTTCTCTTATTCATGACTGGTTTGTTTATTGGGTTTTTGGTTGAAAAATGCGTCGCTTGTCAAAGCCGATAATCCGATTTCGGATAGCATCGTTTTTGTTTTTCACCTTGCTGGATGCGTACGAGAATTATAAAGGCTCAAGCGATCCTTGCCTTACTTGATAGCTTTCAGGAGCTGCATCTCGAAATATGGTAAGCCTGAGTAATTATTGTATTTAAATCTAATTTCATGAAGTCCAGCGGCGCAGTTTATGAAGCTAGTTTATGCATGCTTGTATTAAGATTTGACTGAGACACTGATCTAACCTCGTATGAGGTTTGATATAAGCTTAAGCGTACAGAACTTTAAAAAGCCTTTAGTCGATATATTAATTCACCTTAAATAGAAAGAAAAAACTTTCCGAAGAATATTTAGTTATAATTTTGACTGTAGAAAGAAAGCTTTGAACGATTTTCTTTTCGTGAATTCATCTTTGAAAACAGCCAACACCGGGAAACCGGCGGCTTAAAACATAAACTTTAAGCTTACTAGTAAAGACTTGAGGGTTCTTAGACACACTTGAATACTCACTTGTTTTCGTGAATGAAAATTGTTGTCTCTGTAAATGTTCTATCGAATTATTTTTCTTTATTGACTTTTGGTAGTCTCAAAAGTGTAATTTTCATCGCTTTGCCGTTTGTTTTCAGGCGTTCATAAACATCGCTCGCAGGAGTACTCAAAATGCCAAGCGTATCAAACGCTTTTTAAGATTACACATCGTTATAAAACCGTTAATAAAAAATAGACTCAGTAAATTCTTTATCACGTTGAAGTGTAACTCTTAAAATTTCTTCGCAAATTTGGCGCTTGTCAAAAGTTAGAACCGGCTGGCCGTATAGGTGATTTTGGAAATTTTTTGATCGGTTTCGCTAATTAAAAGTCCACGCGTGCCTCTATGGTCCTGAATATTGAATGAATGCAATTTGTCTTGAAAAATTGTAAAATACTGCATTTTCAACGAGGTCTGTATGATAAAAACAGTGCCTCATAATACTCTTTCTCCTCAGATGTGGTGTATAAAAAAAAAAAAAAAATAAAAGATTGGTTTGCACGCACCCAGATCTATTGGCAAGAATTTGTAAACTTGTCGAACGCAAAAAATTCGGTCTGATTTGTTTTCCAAGAATTTGTTTTGCACGCCTTATCCACTGTGATCAAGAGCCATCATTGCTCTTAAATGTGACCGAAGACTATTTCTTGCTGGGTGTACATATAAGGCTATTCAACTCGATACAAAATTTGTTTCACTCCAAAATCACTTAGCTTTTCCCTCAAAAGTCACATGAATGTGCCCTTACGTTAACTGATTTGTGGAATACAAAATTACCGTTTGATTTAAGTTATAAATTTATCAATATGGGAGCTTCGCTTTTAGCTGTGGCTAAATATATTTAGTATATACACACTCAGTGATCTTGGTGATTTAAGCAATCTGATTGGTTCCCTATCTCGGACTATTCAACAATATTCACCTCCTAGCGAGTGGATAATGTGTGAGCTCGGTGTTTTTCCCGTTTTTTTTAGAGAACGATCTTTTAAAAGTCGACAAAATCCTGGGGCTGACTTTTTTTAAGGCAAGAAAAGACTTGGAAGGATTCAATACGACGTTTTTCAATTTACTGTAGCAGGAGTTTTGTGCTCGATGGATTGTTTACAACTCCCGTGTATTCGCGTAGAAGAAGCCGTTTCGTGAACTCAGCGTTTTCTAAGAAGAAAATTTTGGCTCAAAAATCGAAGTTTATTTATGACAAACAAATTTAAAAGGAAATGTTTGCACAAATTCTACATTTCAAGTAAACAGGAAAAAGAATGATACAGGAAGACGACCTCTTACCTCGAGCAACCGAGCCGCCATTTTTGTCAGCACTTCATGCGAAGAACGACACAACATGCCCTTTTGGCTATAAACTTGGCGAGTCAACAGAAAACAACACAGCTCTACTTTTTTTCTCAGGTAAGGAAACAGTTCAAACTTTTAGCGATTCCATTGAAGCCATTACGCTGTTGTTTGCGAAATGAGTAAACTTGTGAATTGCCATGTTTGAAAATTCTGCAAAGATCTATTTTTAAACTTACGCGTGATTTGATCTGTCAATCAAATCCTACTTTTGAATGGTTTCCTTTCTGATTTTGTTGAGATCACTTCGTGTGTATATACTAAAACAATTATTCTTCTCAATCTCGGTGAATAGTGGCTTTGGGAATATTTACCTCGCCGCTTTCGCGGCTCGGTAAATATTTTGCCACTATTCACCTCGATTTCAAAGAATAATTGTTAAATATTAACTGTGTTTAAAACAATAGCTCGCTGGCCTTAGGTACGTTGCGTTTCTACCAGACTTTTTCAAACTCGCAGGGATAGTGTTCTTGTCCATAAATTTAAAAAGTTGAAACGTATTCTGTTCAAGGAAAGAGCACTCTTACATATTCTGTCCGTGGTTTTGAGGATTTTGTTACTGGTTTCCAGAAAGTCGCGCCCAAAGTCAGCTTCGATACAAAAAATGGCCTCTTTTTAGCAAATTTCAAGTGCAGAGGGATAGTCCTTCTGCTACGTAAAATTTATATATTTGGTGCTTAAACCGTAGATAAATCATTCACTTTTGATATTCCGTAAGTGGTTCTGTCATTTTGGAACTAACGAAGTCGCACCAAGGAGTTTTATCAACGCTGGTGGACCAAAAATGGCCCATTCTTCTCTTTTTGGGAGCTTATTCAAAGCGCTCGTGCATTCGAATTTGCCGCTTCGGCGGTCATGAATAATTAATGATGTCCAATCATTCTGCGTGATGGGTCCCTCCCCCGGATCTGCCACACTGATATCAATGGTTTATCGTTTTAATTGAGCACTATAAACCATCGCAAAATCATCAATCATCTATAATTGAAATCTGTTTCACTTGGATTCACCACTGATTCCCTCCGTATTAAACGCCCGTTGAAGCCACATATGATAACATTTACTGGGTCCGCTTATGGCGACAAGTAAGCACTCGAAACGTATTATCATGGCTCTCTGAAGGAAGGTCAATTTTACATCACAGTTGGGTTATGAAATTAGGCTTACACGATAACCTATTATTCCTCGCGAAGTGCCGAACGAAGCGCGTTTATAATCTCATCGCGCGCGTGGTCCGCGAGTGGATCCTAGCGAGCTGCAAACTCGCAACGCTCATCTGTACTTGTATATATCCGATGGTGTACGCCATGACGTCATACATTAGTTTGACGTCAGGGCGCATTTTTTTTTATTTCTAGGCAACATTCGACTGAAAGCGATTTCCCATCAATGACCAGAGTATTCATGCAGATCTGACTTGTTAGTCTCCCTTGCGTAAGCAAGCGAAGAGCTGGAGGGGGTGGGGGGGAGGTGGGTGTTATTCCCTTATATAGGCTATATAGGTATGTGCGGCGCCAAAGGCTATGGTTTTTTAGCCGTTTTATTCTGAAGTAGGGTATCAATTTCGCAACTGATTTTATTTTATTTTATTAGATTCGGCAATTATTGGCAGAGTCACCGCAACAGCATGACGCCAATTACTGTGGGCCCGTAACAGTCCCTCCTCCCATGAGAGCTAGACCACCACACCGGGGACTACGTCCCCTACTCTTTACGAACAGTGTGTGGGTTCTTTAACGTCCAACAGAATTCATATATGCAAGGGTTGTGAGTTGGGGCCTTGGGTTAATCGTCCTTATCCGAGAACTTTGGTCTTGAATTGGGTATGTTTTTTAGAAGAAGCTACTTCTTCATCATTTGGCGATAAGACCATTTCCCTTTTAACGTTTACGCCAACCGTGTACGTGTCGTAACAGCTTGTCCCCCCGCTCCTCCTGTCACCTTCGGGGCTCCAGGGCTTCAGGTCTGAGATTGGGTAGGGAAAATCACTGGTGGATAGTGAAATAGTGTAAGGGTTTCAGCAAGCGTTCTTTTAAACACAAATGGGGGGCCATTGTGTCAGGCGTTCCTTGCGGAGACCGTACAAAATGGGACTAAGAATCGTTGAGTGATCGAAGCCACGCATGCTTTGCAAAGAAAGCTTAGGAAAGATTGAAGAGCTTTTCCGAAACGTGTTGGTCCACGAATTCTATTGCTTGAAAGACTTGATTACTTTGGAGCAAGTGGACACTACTGAGTGGTCGAAAAAAAAATAAGAATCTTAATTAGCAAAACTGATTGTCGGGTGTTGTAAACTTCACTGTATGCAAATGGTCTTGTGACGAGCATGCGGTTTATTTTCGGCGATGATTGAAATGACGTGCAAGTAAATAACTTTTTAGATCTCTGAAAATGATGTAATTTCTCTGGAATCTAGGCCCTTGAATTTTCGTGTATTATACACGCGTATAGCCTGCGACCGTAGACGTAATTCCGGTCGTCGCTAACACGCGAACTAAATCAATTCAGAAAAAAGTAAAAAGTATCGACGTCTATAAAGTAGGAAGTAAAAATACTTCAGCGAGTAAATCCTGTTTCGTGTAGAATTAATCGCTTCCTCATTTCTCGATCTAATCTTCAAGCAAGCGACACTGACGCCGCTGAAAGCGCGTTCTTGTTTATTCATCATCTGCGAAACAATATATGTTACTATCGGTAAGCAATTTCTCGTGCAAATGCAACAGAACAGCAAACACAAGAACACCGAATTCAACAATTGGCCTCGCAAGGGAAGACTTGACACCGAAAAATCATCTGGAGCGAGAACGCTGACTTGAAATGAAGAAGGAGACGGCAGCAACAAACAGCACAGGCAGCCCAGACGTAGTGTGTGTAAATAACATGGACAAAATGGGATGAGTCGTCGGAACTCCCATGAACTAAAATAGTCCAAAAGTCAAAATATAACAAAACAAAGCTAAGATACCTTAAACTGAACGTCTCCTTGTCTTCCCTGGCCGGTTAAAGTGGCATTTTGTCGAGTTTTGCAATCGTAAGTACTATCCACTAAAGAAGAATTAAAGGCTGGCTACAAAGAAAAGGGACCATCTCCGTGCGAAGCACTATAAATTTGAGGATAATCGACGAATCCGCTCTATATTGCCATCGGCTAATCTGCAGGTAAAGTGTGCTCCTGCGTCTTCCTCGCTGGCTTCATCGCAACCGCACGATATTCGCTCGCCATCAACAAACACTGTTGACCTTTACGCTCCGCCGTGACCACAAACGGGCAGGATTAATACGCGACGTGAATATTCAAGCTTAGCGACCGCGTCTGGGCGACAATGCAGCACTTGCTATGGGAGGGAGGCCCGTCCCCGCGACGTCCATCGAGTGGTCCTGCGATCTACGTATTTCTGGTAATAAGTAGAGTGACAGTGACCGGGTGCTACGCATGCTTTAAATCAGGGAAGGAGCTGAACGACTAATAAAATCGATCATTTTCATTTCTTTGTTCGCGTCTTGCGCTGGTTACGAAACAACAAAGTTTTCTTCGATCCAAACGAAACGGACAATGGACATGTAGGAGAGGCTTTTCGATGCCAGGGCTTTCGTTTTGGTATTCTTGCCAAATGCGTATTTTGAAAACGTTACCCTACATCATTAGACGTCTTATTACAAATAACTCCTTCATCTGCCACCCGTCTAACCATGCAAAAGTGAAAAATAAACGGACAGGGCTGTATCCAGTTCACATTTTAATTTATAGCAGTCAAAGATACAGTGATATCGATGCCAGTTTATACTACTGGAAGAAGAATAAGTTAAAATAATTGACCTTACCAAGTTCCTCAGTCTGGGAATCGAGGTTATACTAAATCCCAGTACAAAGATCATTTCATTGAAGTTCCTCTTGGAAAGAGATCATGCTTGAATTTTGTAATCAATTGTTAAATCTGAATTTAGTTCAAAATTTTAGACTTGAACTATTCGAAAAAGTTTTTTTTTTTTTTTATAACCTTATCATCCCTTCAGCTAAGCAAAACGAAAAAAAAAAGTTTTATCTTAAAGAATAACACAACCACCTTTCGGTGGTGGTGGAGGTGGGCGGTTAGCAAGTGCAATGATTTGCTTCTGAAGCTCGATCATTTGAGCGTTCCTTTGCTCCATAGACTGGTGCATCTGCTCCATTGTTTCCTTGAGCGTCTGGTTTTGCTGAATTATTGCTTCCCTGTCCTTTCGCAGTTCGTCCATGTTTGCCGTCATCATGTTGCTCATTTGTTCCCTTTGAGCCTCCATGTCTGCTTTAAACTGTTCTTCCAAGCGTCTCCTGTCCTCCTCTTGTTTGATCCGCAGAAGCTCCATCTACAAAAGAGCGACATCATTTTTCTTATAGCAAATACCTCGAGATGAGGAAGACAGAAAAAGTAGTATTTTACAGCAGAAAATGTTTACACGTAAAATTGAATTTGTTCAAACCTCTTTCTCTTTCGTGCGACGTTCCTCCTCGAGGCGCGCGTTTTCCTCCTAGATAAATTAAAAATAAAAGTCAGGATTGAAAAGAACACACCTCTTTGAGGTGATTACAACTATACTTTAAGAGCCTTAAAAAATTCGTAGTTGAGCACGAATTCATCGAAGTTGTACTGAGCCCTGTTGAAATAGATCTCTACTGAGGATTAATTGGTATACAGTGTATTTTACAAGCGAACATTGAAATACAGGTCCGAGAAAAAAAAAAAATTACACTTGGTTAATTGTGATTCCCAAAGAGTTAGTACATTTAAAGAATGATCCATCAGCAATGTGGTTTGTTTTCTTTTTTTAACGTAACAAAGTGTTCATTACAGTATCAATCGAGGCGTATAAGAACCAAATACAACAAAAGTGCAGTTTCCATCATTAATTTTAGGCCGGGTGTCTCTCGATAACCTTTTTTTTTTCTTTTAAAGTCTGCTGTGCTTTTAAGTTATAAACCTGTTTTCTGTAGATTTTAGAGTTGAAGACTAAATTCTTTGTTTTTACAAATACTCGAGTTTACTTTTGAAGTCATTTTTTAAGTAAAAATGTCGTCTCTACTTGTCAATCAGATGAACAAGTTCAATGATCATCCTTACTGTAAAACTTCCTCTACCTGTTCACGCTTCTAAAAACGCGCTCAGTTATTTTACTATTTTTACCTCAATCCTTCTCCTTTCCTGTTCCTGACGGGCTTTTTCTTCTCTCTCTAAGGCTAAAGTTTCATCAAAGTCTTTCAGTTGTTGCAAGTGCGCCATGTGTTTTTCCATTTCCTTTTGCATTTCCTATGTAGGCAAGAGATATGCAATCTTAGGACAATATAGAAGGCGTTATGCTAAAAGTACTTGAGATGTTCCCATCTACTGAGTGAGTTTCTTATCAGTTTTCTAGCGAGGAATGACACAAGGTCATATACCAATACGAAATTTTAGGCACGTCCAGGATAGTTTGTAAGACTTAGATATGAGAGATGGTGCCTCCTGAAGGGTTTTCAAGTCTGTGGGAGAGGGCATCTGAGCTCGTAAACTAAAGGCTACTGAACTGTTCGAGAACATGTCACATTATTGATGTTTTACTGTGTCTCATAACTCAATCTGAAAAAAGAAACGTATTTCTTTTAATTCTCCTAAACATGGAATTTGAACATATAACCTTACCGGATGGAACTCGTAAAACATCTGCGCACACACATCCTTGGCTCCTCTAGAATGAGTTTTAAATCCTTGCTCAATAGCAGAGTAACCTCCAATTATTTGAGCAAAGGTGACAGAAGCTCCATCTTTCCCACTGAGCTGTCTCAGGATAGGATCCAAATGCTGCTCTTTCAGATCACGCAGCAGCTTGTGGCACTCTTGTCTTGTTAAACGATTGTTCTCCTCCAGCCAATGCTTCAGGCCATTTTCCATGTGCTCCTATGGGTAGAGAAAGGTGCGCGTTTAAATTCAATTTTTTCCTTATTTTACACTGTTTCTGTAAGGATCACGGGCCAGTTGCATAAATGTTGACGTCGGACGTAGCAAGTAATGTTTGACGTTCAGATCAGTCAGTTCTTATTTTAGGGGCAGAGGTTCAGCGCTACGCCTGACGTACAACCTAATCAAACTCTGTTTTTTTTTTTTTTTTTACGCCAGACGTTACCAGTTTCGTCAGATGTTAGTTTTAATGCACCCCAGAAAATTCAGTGGACATGTGCCATTTTTACTTTGAATTACTTTCGTCTTGTTCTTCTTCTTCTAAAGGTATTGAGTAGTGATCTGGGCACACATGGGCTATAATTTACAAAGCACAGATGTGACACCTCATTCCCCTCTATGTAAAGGAATCCAAACCAGTCTTGGATTTTGAATTCCACTCCGTGGATTCCGGATTCCAAGCCTTCGTTAATGAAATTCCGGATTCCAAGCCTAGGATTCCATATTCCACAAGTAAAATTTCCCCTGATTCTGGAACCCGAATTTCCTTACATGGGGCGATCTCATACTGTTCCTTACCGTCAGTTCATCCAGGTACTTTTCACTGCTTAAAGCAGACACTCCAGCTGTCTCAGTTTGAAACCTAACCATACATTCTTCAATGGCCGCTTGCTGAACTTGGCGAATCTCGTCACTCTCACGAGGTAGTGTTCCATCTAGCTGAGATGACATGGCGCTTTGATAGATCTGCATGGCGATAGCTTTTGCCTCGGAACACTTGGTATGCACAAAGGTCTCCCAGGCGCTCTGTACACTAGGAACTGTTCCAGGAGTGTTCAATGCCTCAACGTAAATATTGACGAGAGCTGCTAGGGCTTAAAAAAAAAAAAAAGTTCAGAAAATAATCGAGATTATGATGCGATGATATCTCACAGCCTTTCGTCAATCGGATAGTTACACCTAGAGCATGACTCTCAGGTCAATCTACTTGATTCAACAGCCATACAAAAATATAATGCCACAACTTACCATTTACCTAACAAATAAAGAAGCCTTGACTTTACTCCGTTTTACATGTTGTAAAGCACCACTGAAGCACGCAGGAAGCGGCAAGAGAACGATCGAAAGGTATAATGCAAGGGTAAAACACGAGACTGCTTCTCCCTACTTCTTGAGTGCTCTAGAAACCGTTAAATTCCTAACGCATCACTCTCTAGTTTTTTAAAGCAAACTTTAGCTCCTTGTTTTATACTCTCATAAAGCACGCTTCCATCCAATCAGGGGGCGTGTTATATCTGAACTTTATTTAAATTTGCTTTATAAATGACCAGGCGCGGTGTTACTCATCTTGAAAAAAAACGAAAAAGGTATTACTATATCAATGTCGTGCTTTTGATATTAATGGAAACCTGAAACCAGCGAAAATAGATTATAACGAACAAAAGAACATAAAGAAGAGCCACGATGTGCATATCTGTAAACAGAATTACATTAAATTTTTCAGTTATTACCTTCGCCAGTTACATATTCTCCATCACGAAAGCTGCGTTTGGGCGTTAACTTGGACCTCAGCATCCCCTTGAATTCTTCCACTCCCCGCACAAACGACTTGTTTACGTCACCCTGCACCTCTTCTCGATTAAGATTTAATACAACTTCTGGGTCAGAAGAAGGAGGAGGAAGTTTAAAGGCCTCAAACCCAGGGAAGAAATTCAAAATGCTCTCGGCCACTTTAGAAGCGACTTCACCTTTTGAGTCTGCTGATGAGTTAAACACCTATCGATTGAAAAAGGTGGTAAGTTAGCTTCACATTAGCACTTATACGTTTTTTGTTGATGCACTTATTTTTCTTAATGCGCCATTAAACAGAACGCAGTACGCTGACGAAGGTTATTACTATGCTATATAACAAAAAGATCTACCATTATCTGCCGAAAAGTTTTTGTTAGACTCCGTGCAATGTGCGAACATTCTGTAAGTTGCCGTTTGGTTAGTAAGAGTGCTTTTATGCTTATTTTAACGATCGATTCTCATGTGTGACTTATTTTCCTTCAACGATGATAAATATGATCCTAATCAGGTGCTCAGGATATAAGAAATGATCTTGAGCTAAGCGAACAAAAAGATTTGAGAAGTGCCTCTGACTGGTTGAAGCACGTTACCCTGACGGCTCTACCAATCAGCTGTGTAGTGGCACTCTACGTCATTAGTTTATGGAATTTCTCAGTTGCTCGCTCCTCATGCGTCATTTCGCGGTGAAACTAGTGGTGGCTGAGTGTTTTCTTATGCAGTCTCTTGAGCTGTATCAACACACTATTTGTAAATAATTCTCCTTTTACCCTTGTCAGAAAATACTCCTTGATATTGTGACAATCTTTAGGGAGTGCAAGCACAACATCTCTTAACAGCCAAATGAAGAATGGGAAGGTTTTGTGGAAATGGTTTGCATCTTCATTCTGCTGCAATGCTGAGGCGGTTGAATCAGATGAGTGAAGCTGAATTCGCTGAGAAAGTTTCAGTATGAAGCTTTGAATCATTAAGGAATGTTAACTATATCCATATAAACTCCCGTTACCTCTTATATTTGCCAATCAATTCTTTCTTAGCAGACATACACCTCACTTTAAAGGATTCCTAGGGTTGGTCCCTGCTGTTGTTCCGACAGCTTTTTCTTTAATTTGCCCGACTGTCTACGAGACGGACACCTCTCTAAAACAGAAACTTAGTTCTTGTTCCGACTAAGTCCTTCTTAAAGAGATCGCTTTGAATGCGATGCGTATTCTTTTTTTTTTTCAATACACGTCTAAATGAGTGTTGTTTCACTACAAAGCTTACTAATAACCTTACACAAGTAAGTACGATAAAAGTATTAGCTGTTCAAGGATACTCAAGTCCATCAAGGTCAGTCCGGGTAGGAACACCAGCTGAGTTGTAAATCAAAACTGAGGCCAGTAAAATGGTCAAAGTGAATATACAGTGATCATCAGAACCATCACTGGTCACCGCATCAATTCCTTCCGAGTCCAACAGCACCACTGTAAATTCCTGGCCACTGGCGTCCTATGCATTAAAAGGAAAATAGGTTTCGATGGGTTGGGCTTCATACGGAAAATAATGTACAATAAATAATAATGCTTTTCGAGAGATGGAGCAAGACTTTTTTAGGCCCAGAGTCTGAAAAAATGGCCTTAGGAACTAATATGCGCTATCAGCATTTCACAGATCTTAGGCTAGCGACAAGGGCACTAGGGTAGGTAGACAAGCAAACCATGCACACCAAATAGTTGGTCAGATCTGTCTTTTCAAGTCATATCCAGCCCAGTAATGCTGGAGATGACTTGAAAAGACAGTATCAGCAGTTAATAGGGAACTTAAGAACCACGACGACGACTTTGTCGACGACGACCGGAAGTGAGATACCGTGCACTGCGCAAGCGCGGTTAACAAATTTCGTCGTCGTGGTGTCGTCGACGACGCCAAACACAGTAGAGTCACGTCGTCCTGCAGTCCACAAGCTTCGGCAGGTATAACTCCCTGTTTTTAAGCGATTTTTCAAGGGCTGTGTATTTTTTCACCTCGTAAATCCAGGTATCCTTTCTTTTTTTCTGCTAGCAAGCGATGTTGATTGAAAATTTGACTGATTAATTGTGTTTACTTCGAAGACAACACTGAGCTGTGCAGGCCGAGCGAGCGAACTCGTAAGTGACAAATTTATTTGTACGCATTTAGTTCAGGCAAATCATATATCTTTAATATAGAGGAAATGAACTTTATATGGAAAACAGCTATCGCATCGGAATGTCTCTTTTTCCAAATCTAAACTCTGACAGACACTCGGACTCGGTCATATCATTCAGGTTGAAAGTTGAATAACCTTCGTACGGAAAGCAGAGAGTTTTCCATTCGAAAAGGTCAGACAACACTAAAAATGCTTCATCGTCAATGAAAGTAGACGTACGGCGTATAAAATAAGATCTTGCATCGTCTTAAAAGACGCCTTTGCGAAAAAACTTTGTTGCGAACGAACATCACAGTTGTACTACTTCTACATGTTTGTTTACATTCAGTGTCGTCGTCGTCGACCTACCGATCGACTGCATCTTAAGTTTCCTAATATATCGTACTAGACGTCATTATTACTAAGAGCTTACTTTCAACTTTTCTGGCACAACCCACATCCAGATACCCATCGTCTCTGGGTCCAGAAAGTGTCCAAGAGGGAAAACCTCTCCTTGGTCAAATGCTTTGCTGAGGATATACGATTTGCCTTTGCGACAAGGCCCAGCAATTGACACCACACAAACGGGACCTAAATTGAGTTGGAAACTAAGTTAGTGTGTGTACGAAAGATCTCAAGATCTCAACTAAAAACCACAATGCTCAGAATAATAATAATAATAATAATAATGATAATAATAATAATAATAATAATAATAATAATAATAATAATAATAATAATAATAATAAAAGAAATAAAAGATTACGGCTAGAAACCAGTAATAAATAACTATCCTGATAGTAATTAAGTTCAATACCTCTAAATTATTTACGTTCGTTGATGATTTAATCACCTAAAGAGTGTTTGTTTTCCGGACAGAGTAAGCCAATAAATGAAAATATTATCTATCGACGTGGAAAGTCCTCCGCGGCCCTCTTTTCCTTAATTTTCTGGATCCGCATCCGAACGGTGTTATCGTTTTTGAGCCGTGACGCATGTCAACTAAAAGTACACTTTTTGCATTCTTTTATAGGCATTGATTTTGCCTATTTTTTTAGAAAATCGTCTTTATAAGAGTAAAAACACTTAGCAATTAAAAATGTACTAGCGTCAAGGCGTGGAAAAGGGAAATGCATCACTTCCAGTTGACGTGCGTCGCTCAAAAATGTATTGCCCCCTATTTCAGTTCAGTGAACATTCTCCACCTTCAAGTCCACAACAACATATAACAAAGTAGAGAAAAACAGCCCGCCGTTTACTGAGTACGCTACAACATCACTCATGATTTATCGATCACTACCTGGGGATTACACAAGAAAAAGATAGAAGGAAGAGCTAGGAAGAGTAAAAGAATGGGTAGTATAACAATAGGAAATGTGAGACGAAATTTTTAAGAGAAATACAGGTTACCTTTGATGCTTCTTAGCCTTTCGAGAGCTTTTTCGACTACATAGAGGCTTTGCCTTTCCCCTCCAGCCTTGCTGTATTCACCAGTCTGTTCGTCCCACCTACAGTTGTTAGGAAGGCACAGTGGTACGGCACAGCTTCCTGACATTGTGTTATTTTGCCGTCCTTCCCAAAGGTTTGATAAACTAGAGACAAAATAGGTCCTAAAAAAACAGAGAGAAGAGAAAATGTACCTGCTAAATTGTTAATGGGGTTAACCGTTTGCTGTCTTGATGGACGGCTAAACAGACAAATATATACAAAATCACGAATGATTCATCCAAAAATAAAAACCATCCAGTTATCACATCCGTCTGACACGGATTACCCAACAGATAACTCAGTCACCTTAGACGGCCAATCATTCTCTAGTGTGAAAACCTCCATTTTGTGAGAAAATGTAAACTGACTGTGAACATCAGGTAAGAATCACCGCGCGGAATTACCTCTGTCAACCGCACCATGCAAGGAAACCCGGGGAGCTTACCATTTACCGTATTTATTCGAACAAGCGCCCAACCTCGAATTAGCGCCCACTTCGAATAAGCGCCCATCCTAAAGGGAGAAAAAATTAATAAGCGCCCAACCTCGAATAAGCGCCCACCCCTCCTTCTCCCAATCAAACTCAAATAAGCGCTCACCCCCGCCCCACCCACTTGAGTGAATAACTTCCCCGAGGACGGAGTTTTCTTCAGAGTATTTTACAAAAACCTTGCTTTGTTACTTCTTCGCGTTTATTATTTTGTTTCAAAATAAACATACTTCACTTGCTGAAAATGGTGAAAATTTAATAAGCGCCCAGCCTCGAATAAGCGCCCACTTTCAAGGTCCAAAAATTTAATAAGCGCCCAGGGCGGTTAATCGAATAAATACGGTATTTACACAAACTGACACAAACCACCCGGGTGGAAGTAAATGGTAAGTACCCCGGTTTCCCGGATCCGGAAAAGTTTTGCTTGTGGAACCCGTTATTCGAGAATTCTTTTCATGTGGAATCGGGAATTGTGGGCTTTGGAATCCTGCATCTTTCTTACGGCTGGAATCGGGAATCCAAGTTCCACCGATAAGGAATCCAGAATTCTAGAACTTGGAATCCGGAATCCACAGTGTAGAATCCAGAATCCAGAAATATCTTGATTACCCAACGTGGGACGACCTCAACTTCGGTTTCAAAATAACTCTTTCGCACATTACTCACAGAAGGATCCAGAGGGCAATCACCAGAGTACCGACGATCATACTGTTTTTAAGAGAGCCAGGTCATTGGAGGGGAGACGGTTTTAACTAAAGGACCTAAAGGCTTTTTCCCTGTGTCAGAAATTTTGACATTCTAGCGAAAAGCATACGGTAAGCGCATGAAAATGCGCGTGACGCTTTACAGTGTTGGCTCAGAATGATACTGAAGTATTAAAGTCTTCATGCAGATCGGAATATTAAACTGTGCACTGATGCGTTCCAAAGAGAGAATTAGAAATTAGTTCTTAGAGTTTGAACACAATTTTGTCATAGTAATATACAACGTTTTCAGCATTTCAGCTAATGGAATATTATTCTCAAGAAAAAAATAGCATTTTTCACTAAGCGTGACAAGCATGAATTATTACTGAGCATGCTTAACAATTTTTTGATCCCTAATAAGACAATGATGCTAACTTAGAAATCAAGCATTCATAGCCAGAAATTAAGTATGCTAGAAAGTGAAACAAAGGGAAAGTCCCGACCCAGAAGTTATTTTGTGACGGCATGATACAATAGTATATTACTGAGACAGTTTTGCTAGTCGCGTTCTTGTTCGTTATTTCCGCCACACTGATTTTTATGCTTCAGAGTGGGTAACCTTTCCCTGAATTAGATGAGCTGATCGCGCTTTCGAAAAACAAAATACCCCAGATGCAACATCTGACCGGAGAAAACTTCAATGACGGTCTTCCGCTCCCTATTCAAAATTTATATTCTTTTCCCAATCCTACTTCGAACAGAGCTATTTGGGTCAGTCTTAAAACAGCTCCTTAAAAAATACTAACTCTACAGTCTTCGATAGCTGAGCGAGGTGAATAAATTATGTCGTTAGCTAATGCCCATGCTTTTTTCTTTCCTAGTCTTTACTAGTAAAAGCTGGACTGTTTTTTAAACATACTTCGCAACATATTGATTCTGACCTGCAGATTTTACTAACCTTCAGAGAAGTTCACGCGGCTGTGAAAAGATGCAGTTACCGAAGTACTGAGTTCCTTTTAACTAAAGACGATGCCAAATTGTACGGGGTTGTTTCGCATTCTCGGAAATACCATACATGCATAAACACATGATGTATAATTAGTCACTGACTTCATGCTATTTACAAGAGAGAGACATAAAACCAATCATTTTTGCCCTTATTTATGTTTTGCTGTCAAATCCGAAAGGACTTTAGCAAATCAGCTGCGTTAAACCTAAGAAGGGGAATACCCGATTTCTCAGAAACATATTATAGGTACATTTGCAAACATCGCTTGTTTCGCTTTCGTCGTCCGTAAACCGGAAGCGGAAGTTTACTTAGAATTCAAGATAGTTTCTTTGAAATAGCAGCCAACTGCTGCTTCATTGTCAGCTGAAGGGAAACGGTAGAGAAACCGTCAGTTAGCACATGCTAGCTACGTCGACTGGTAAGTAATTATTAAACTGTACCCTATCCTCAAACCAGGAGCTTCAAACCATCGAAACGACAAAGTTTCTTTTTCGCCAAATAGTATTGTTACTTCCGTCAATTCGTTTTCGTTATTCTAATCGAAGCTCCTGAATCGAAGAGAATTAAGACGGAACCCATCAGGAAATTGAGTTATTGGTTAAATTATTCTGGTACCAGGCCTTTGTTCTCAGCATTTGAAATTACTCAATTTCCTCATGGATTCCGTCTTAATTTGTATCTATATATCCAGAATATATATATATAGAATTCAAGATAGTATCCAGAATATATATATACATATATATTAATAATCACAGGAGTTCAGGCTTCAGGAGTAATCATTGATCTTTTATTGCGACAGTGCTGTTTCGTATGGTCCGAAATTGTAGGACCACACTCATCAGGCAACTTCAACGATAAGAATCGTTGAAGTTGCCTGATGAGTGTGGTCCTACAATTTCGGACCATACGAAACAGCACTGTCGCAATAAAAGATCAATGATTATTCCTGAAGCCTGAACTCCTGTGATTATTAATAGTCAATGCTCTTCAATTAAATGAATTGAGCGCTCTACGGAATACGTTCTACCCAGAATACAAGTATTTATATACATATATATATATAGACTCCCTTAATTAAGAATATCGAGGAAGCAATAATGATTTATTCTGAAATTTGCTCAGTACAAAATTATAAGGTCAATTTATGATTGGTTAGATATATACCCAACTGTGTATCGCGTAAAATATCGCGAATGAAGGGAGAAAGACAAAACGAAAGCAAAACGTGAGTGACCACCTCGTTCTGTATGCAAGGAGCAACGGAAGCGAGGCTGAAAGGAAGGGCGGTCTTGGGAGAGATTTGTTCATGATTATAATATAATACTCGCTGATGACAGATGCCCGTTTAACAACGCTTTCCTTTTCTATGAAAACGCAATATCACTTCAGCAAAATAGCTTACACAATTGATTTTCCTTCAAAAGTCTCTGGGATGGTCATAATTGTAATTATCACACGGCATGTCTGAAAACCAGCTTGCTGAGCCATTTACCGTGTTTAAATAAAGTTGATTGATTGATTGATTGATTGACAATACGACTCGGTATTTCCCTTTCGTCAGGGGCACCCAACGTCAATTTTCGGGAAAATATCTGTTCGGAAGACGATTTGAGATCTAGAATTTTCGGAACATTTGCTGTAAAATTTCTTGCTTGCCTGCCTCTCGTAGGATTTTCGAACATCTAAAAAAGGTATAATTGTCCATTTTTAACCGATTTTTACCCTAAGAAGGTCACCTAGAATCTTCGGGAGCCTTTTTTTCTGTCTGAAATTTTCGAAAAGGTAAGTTTTGATCCTTATAATTTTCGGATCACTAGACTTTCAGCTAGGAAATCGGAACAGATGAAAAATTTTTAGGGATAAAAATATGCCTATATCTACCGTTTAAATACTAAAATACGTTTAACAATGCTATGTTTAAGTGGTTTTGAACTATATTCTCGTTGGGTGCCCCTGTTTCGTGAACGGCACTCCACAGCGGAGAACATTTTCCTCCGGCAGAGGACCAGTAGGCCTTTGGCATTACCTGATCTACTTTGGCTAAACACGAAAACAGTTCGCTTTTGAAATATTTTGTTAGCACGAGCTGAAAGAGCATATTAAAATAAGGTAACCTGTAAATTTCCAGCCGTATATGTCAAAAGTAGCGATTGTAACGACCGTCAAGAAAAACAACTCTTGCCACCCAGTCACACTTAAATGGTTTTCCATACGACTCCTTGTAAATTCTGGATTTTTTAAACTGTCGTTAACTTTCCCTTACGCATTTAAGGGCTCGAATTTGCCTGTTATAAATTTTAAAGGAATTTTGAGCTCCGTAATGCTTAAAGAAATATTTCAACACAGTTTAAAAACTCCTAAATTTACAAGGATTTGTACGGAAAACCCTTCTGGCGTGAATGGGTGCCAAAAGTTGTTTTACTCATACAAATCCTTGTAATTTTCGGTGGCCGAGTTAGCGCGCCGAATAGGTCTATTTACAGGTTACCTAATTTTAATATGCTCTTTCGGCTCGCGCTAACAGCATTTTCAAAGGCGAACTGTTGTCGTGTTTACTGAAAGTTGGTCATGTGATCAACTAATGCAGTAGGCCTGCGGGGATCACGATAATATTGCACAAAATTTTTCCAACTGCGATGCAGCGATCATCTGGATCTTTACTGGTTTTGACGTCGCAAGTTCTTTGGCCTTGTCCATGTTTTTTTTTTTTTTTTCCCAGGTCGCAATAATGTTTTATTCCCAGCAATCCTTGCGCGCGCTGACAGGTTCTCCTGTGTTGGCTGTCGTTGGACTTCGTGATATGGCAATTAAGGACTTTTGATAGCAAAGTTTGTTTTTTTTTTTTACTTTGTTCGTCGTTATGAATTGGCTGACATTAACGTCTCCGCAGAACTTTGTACCTGTTTTTTCGTACAGGCATGAAGTAACTAAAGCATAAGGAGGGTCCCCCGCAACGTGGCGTGGATCAACTTCACCGCACCTTAAAAGGTGAACCGGTGAAGTTGATCCACGCCACGTTTTAATTTGCAAAACATATTTAACCATTACCCAAGGAAACTGTTGTTAATGGATCACAATACGCACAATTAAATGCACTCTTGATTCCTCACTTACTTGTAAGGATATGTAAAAGACCAATAAGTAAGACGTTGACAAGTTTTAACTAAAGAAATCCAGTTCATTATTGAATAGTAACAAATGAAATACTGTACGAAGAAAGGAAAGGGTGTTTCTCCTTCTATTGCAGTCGTCAACTGACGGTCAATTGTAGGCGAAAATGTCCGAACACTCAGCAGTTCCCCTGTGTCTCCCAAATAACTGTAAATGGGATGAACAGACCGGTGAATACAGCAAAGACGAGGATCAAGATAGGACCAAACTTAATGTGATCAACGCTGCGTTGGAACAGCTAAAAGCTATTAAAGGTTGGAGGAACGGAATAAAAATAAAATATTTTTCTTTACTTTTTTTTTTCTCTAAAATTCACGTTTTCTTTCATGGTCAGATGTAGCGGAGACGGATCCCTTCAAGATTTTTTTTTCTTCTTTTTTAAATGGAAAGGACACAAATAGATTGAGTTCTGGGGTAACGCTTCCTTTTACCTTTTTCACTTTTTGGCAACTTTGGTATATAATAGCATCAAGAGAAAATAATCTCTCTTGATTGCATTAAAAACTTATTCACCAGAGGTGCCATCAAGACTCCTAATTCAAACCAGATGCACCTTCATCACCAATGGCAAATTCACCTGGGATGGACAGCATTTAGCCACCTTTTGTAATGATTAAGTTTGTTATGACGTTTTAGGTCCGGTGTGTGTGGTGTCGATTGCTGGACCGTGCAGGAAAGGCAAATCCTACATCTTGAGCAAGGTATTTGATCAGGGTGAGGTATTTCCTCTCGGACATGAATTGGATCCCGAGACCATGGGAATCTGGATGTGGATTGTACCAGAAAAATTTCAGGTATATACTCTTGCAGCTTTATATGAATTTTCTTTCCCATACAGATCAGTTCCACGTTGTGTAAATAAAGTGTATGTATGTATGCTAATTCTGACAGAGAAAATGGAGTCTGCAGTGATGCTAAGGTCAGCTGCACAGTTTGAGTAATCTTACAGTTTTGGGCAATTCTCTACTTTCTTGATCTCTTCAGTACAGTGTTCATTAAATTTACAGCTACTGTAATGAGCACTGTATTGTTGAGGTCAGAGCTGGTGCATATTATGTGTATACATTAATGTATGTGCATATTTGATTTCAGGTTAAATTTTTTAAACAAGGTTCGATTCTCAATTTCCTTCGTCTTCTAGCCCTAATGTTCTTGAATTACGGTTAGGAAACAAATGAAATTGAGAATCGACCTAGATTAACTCAAAATTAACCGAAAATCAAATTTGACCTGTGACACATACATGTGCAGTACATGACTGTGTATTGTTCACAGTTACATATAATAGGCTGCTGTGAAGAAGCTTGGGTCAGAAATTCTGAATCTCAAGTGTTGTTTGGGGGTCAGAAATTCTGAATCCTCTCCTCTGTTCTTGGGGGATCAGAAATTCTGAATCCTCCCCCGTATTGCTTGGAAGAATTTTATAATTCCTTGCAAACAGGGAGACGTTTCCTGTGAGTTTTAACACCAGTTTAAGGTTAAGAGTAAACTGCAAAAATCGTCTTTGAAATTAAGTGGCAAACATGAAACTCCGTGAAAGCTCCAGGTTTCACTTCTAGCCAATTTTACACTCATTTCCAAGGGAACTTCAAAACCTGCAACGTAAGAAAGACTTTTCTTGGAGACAGGTCTCTATTTTTAACGGAAAAGGCAGCCTTTTTTGAGGTGATTCTCAGTATTTGCTCTGACTTTTACCAAACTGGAACCCCGTACACCACATTTTAGTTTGAAGGCGTTTGCTCCTGAATGTATTGAAATATGCAATATTAGATAGCTGGGTTTCAATATCCTTCAACTGGAACAATTTGTTCTCATCGTGGTTGCAGGATACCAGTGGCCAGGAATTCACAGTAGTGCTGTTGGACTCCGAAGGAATTGATGCAGTGTCGGGTGAAGGATCCGATGATCACTGTATATTTACGCTAACCATTTTACTGGCGTCAGTTTTGATTTACAACTCAGCTGGTGTTCCTACCAGGACTGATCTTGATGGACTAGAGTATCCATTATCATAATACTAATCTACTGTAACGAGAAGATCCTTTGAAAGGGAGAGGCTTACGATATTAAATTTCAGAAATTTCAAGAACTAGTGTTTGAAAAAATAATAAGTAAAGAACAAGGTTTTATCTTTAGATGATTCCAAGCAACGTAATGTCACACTTTTAAAACAGATTGAGAGAAACCTTTTTAAAAGTGAGCCACTGCTTTCATAGCTTGAACGTAATCCATTTTAAAGTTCTGTTAATTTTTGCCTGTCCGTTCAACCTTTTATTGCACGACAGTTTGAAGAATTTATGTTGCATCTACTTAAGGCACCCCTGTAACCACTCGGTAACTGCTGAAATTGCAGAAAATTAAAAGTAGTAGGCAACTTGATATAGCGAATCAGTAAAAACCCTCTATGTTTGGTCTTAACAACAAAAAAGCTATATATTAAAACTCTCTCAGCGGATTCAAATTCACTCTGGCAGTCAAGGAGGTGATGCACAACGAGGGGTGGGCACCATAGAAGACGCCAAACTTTTCCATAAGACGTTTCCTTTCTTCATTTGGCTGTTGAGAGATGTTGTCTTAGCGCTTCCTAAAGGTTGCCCGAATATCAAGGATTACTTTCTTACAAAAGTAAGTTCATCTGGAATATGACAATGCAATGCTAATATTATTATTATTATTATTATTATTATTATTATTTGTTTCTGCTGTGTATAAAAAGATTTTTTTCACAAAATTTGCGAATTAATCGTTACATAACTGCAACCGTTAACTTAGCCTGTTACTGGCGTTCAGATTGTTCAGATTGTGGGGACGAAGCAAAGAGATGTGAGCAGAAAAAACAGCAAGTGGGTGGGGTTAGGGGGTGAGTGCTACGGTTCCTGCCACTTCCCTCTCTCTATGAGACTCTCTCCTTATTTTTTTTTTCCGGCTCTCTGGGTTCGCGCTGTACTCCGGCCGTTATCTGAACGCCCGGAGGAGGCTATCATAAACTTTGTAATCCATTCGTAAAAGTTATTTACTTTTTGGCGGTTGATAGTTATTGAATGCTTGCTTTATCATCATTAAGTACTCGATCATGGTAGTTTAATTGGGCATTACTGCCGGAAGAAGAATCTCTTTCGTCTTCTGACTGCTTAGTAATGCTGTACCCAGTCACAGTTAGTGATTTTTAAATTGTCATTTATTGAATCTGGTGAAGCACAAACTGCCGCAACAATTTTCTCATTCAATTTACAGGTATTCAAAACCTCAGCATCATCAAAGCCAGATAAGGCCAAAGACGTAGCAGAAAGCATTTTAAGCTACTTTCCTGGTTTCGATGCTTTCAAGCTGCCACCCCCATCCTCTGATCCTGAGGTTGTTCTTAATCTCAACCGGGACGAAGTCCAGCAAGACATAAACAAATCATTTGTTCGCGGAGTAGAGGAGTTCAAGGCCAATCTAAAGTCTAAGCTGGCTCCGAAGCTCAGTTTTAGTGAGGGGGAAATTGTGACAGGGGAAGGTATGTGACGGGGGGGGGGGAGGTATCTCTAAGGAAATCGTTCAGGTTCAGTTCGCCTGCCAGTATGACGTCACGTCTCGCGTCGGTGACTTTCAAAATGGCGAGCAAAGTGTTCATCGAAGAGACGGATAAAAATTTCGAATTTATCACGGAAATACTTTTCCGATGTCTTGCACCTGGAGATTTTTTGTCATAGAAAACCAGACGTCTTTGGTACTTCTTTGTAATGAAACGTCCAGTGGTGTAATGAATTTTAAAGATTTCTTTCTATCGTCGAGCAAATTCTACTGGCAATCATAGCGACCGGTCACACTTTTGAGGGTCAGTGCACAGCAATCCAGCAAGATTGAGGAATTTAGACACAGCAATAGGAGGTTCATCAAGTGATGTATTATGCTTTACATAGTGCGTATTTGCAGCTCTGCAGAGCTAGTGGAACCCCATATCAATCCTTTCAAAGTTCGCTTAGCTGGTAGCGTTGAAAGAAGAAGAAGCCAAATGACGGGTATTTGAAAGAGACTGTGAGCATTGAATCTTGTTGCTTTACCGAATTTTAATACTGTGCTGGAGATGTAACTGAATCCCGAACACCAATAAAAGGCTTCGTTTGATTATTGTTTTTGGGTCAACCAAGTGGAGATCGTAGGGTAATAATATTGTTAAATCGCCAGTGGTTGTTGGGTGTAAATTAGAAAAGTTTGTAGTGTACTAGTTTAGTCCCTTTTCTAAAATATAACTCGGGACTAAAGCTTAAAATGTATATTGATCCAAGTGCATGACTGCAGCAGGGTCAGCAGTAAGAATAAAGAAAAACAGGCCAAAAAATGGGACTAAAAAACAAAGACTAAACAGAAAAAAAAAACAACAACAACAAACAAACAAAACAAAAAAACGATACAACAAAAAACAATAAACAGCGTCGCCGGGAGTCGCACCCGGGTCATCTGCAGGTGCAGGCAACTCCTTGACCACTGAATCACACTGCCAATAACACAAGTTTTGAAAATTAATGTGGTTATATCAAAACCATTTTTCTTTGCCACAGACCCTTTTCGAAGCTGGTGGAGCTATATTTATCATGAATTCAAATATACATTCGAAGAAAATTAGCTTAAGCGCGTATTTCAAAGCTATTTCGCATTATTTCCGGTTCAACGGGCCGATCGATGTATAGATAATCCATCAAACTAGCTTTACTGAATTTGGTGGTGAATTAGGAAATCAACAGAGGCCCACACTCGAAAGGATTGATATGAGGTTAGGTCGGTTTAATTAATGACAGAATAGATGAAATATAAATAAAGTGTGATTTGTGAATGGAACCTCCTATTCTGGACACTAGACCTTGCCTATTTTAGAGAAAAAAGGATTTAGGTTTTGATGAAATTGCTGGTCCCGTGAAAAAGATGGCGATCCAGCAACACGGCCCGCAAAAGAAATTAACAAAATTATACAATTAAGGACGCAAATATCAAAACGGTTTACGCAAACAGATTATAGCAACAACAAAACTCACACACTTGCAATCAAATTAGCGATAAAAAACTTGAGATTTACTAGACTGTTCAGTGTTCACAGACCCCTATTTTTCTCGAGAGATCGTCGGGCTCGAGCGCTTACCGGTACAGGCGGCCAACTTGGTTTCATGGTACCGAGGTACTGGAGTCGGGAAACCGTCCCTTGCCCACTTGGTAGATTTGACTCTCATCACCAGGCTACACTCGGAACATTTGAAACTAAGATGGCCGCGCGTAAAGACGATCTTACGGAAAAATAGGGGGCCGTGAACTGTCTAGAGATTTGCAAATCGTTCCATAAATCAGAATATATTAATGGTTGCATAGAACGTATCGCAAATTCTAAGTAAAACTATGGCGTATTCTTATTAACAGAGGAGGCCTAAAGTCACCAGAAGGCGCAATTTTTTTACTCATACCATTTTTATTAAAGCTCTTGCAACCATGGTTACCAGTTACGTGACGGCATTGAACACCCCTGGAATGGTACCAAATATCCAAAAGGCCTGGGACGTGTTCGTTACTGCAAAGTGTACCCAAGCCAAATCGGAGTCCATTACAGTATACGATGAAACGATGGAGTCAGAAATGTCTGGTAGGATGCCGTGTGAAAGGGACGTGATTCGACAGGCCCAAATGGTGGCACTCGACAAAGCACTTAAGCTGTTTGAAGAAAAAACATACGGAATATCGACAGGGAATATGGAGAAATATCTCCATGAATTGACGGTAAGGAGTTGAAAGACCTGCCGACTGATAAGTATTTGATCGTCATGTCCAAAGGGATACTCTGCAGTTCCCGATTTAACATTCATTTTTCATCTCAATTCGGAAGCTCACGAGAGTCTTTTGACTGTCAAAAATTAAGCCTGTGTTTCAAATTTTCAAATGTTGCATTTACGGAGGGAAACAAATTCGGGAAAAAAGCTCTTTAAAAAGTCCTCAGCACGGTTTTGGACCAACAACAAGTTGCACTGTCTTATTAAGGGTTCGTCTAAGAATCGAGCCCGCACCATTACCAAAGAGATGCTAGGTCAGAGCACAAGGCGAGCTGCCTAGACCACCAACCACTGATTGCGAAATCTCTTCTCCCCACCCACCCCCTTATCACCGCGTGCATTTTCTTTCACTCTTTGTACAGCTGTAGGTCGCAAGGCGAGCAACAAATATGGTTGCAATGTCTGACTTTAATTATTTACTAATAATAACGGATTAGAAATGAGAAAACATGGGTTAAAAATTCAGATGCGCAAGTCAATGAAACAACTCTGGAAAAGAAGCTTTATGCAATATGTCAACAACGTACTTCTTGGTATGTTTTAATTGTAACTTATTTTTCCGAAAATCTAAAATTATAATATCAACTAATCACAGGATTACATGGAGAACGGTTTGAACAACTGGCAAAAGGAAAATGCTCGTCTAACCAAGGAAAGCTGCAATCAGCTGTTGGTTGGATTAAAGCGCCAGCACCTGGACCCAGTCTTGACACAGCTTAGAGGAAAAGATGGCGCTAAAGTTTCTTTCGCTGAAATTATGGCCTGTTACTCGGCTATTGAGCAAGGATTTAAGCTGGAAGCTAAAGGAGCTGAGGATGTCTGTGCACAGGTTTTCTTCGAATTCCACCCCGTGAGTATCATATGAATAGGGTGTCACCTCTGGCAGAATACAACATTCAATACTTAAAAACAATAACAAAAATAATAATAATAATCATGTTTTTTTTTTTAATAAGACCAATTGTATCCTATGTCACAATTTCTTATTTATTGTGTATCACAAAAAAAGAGACATGTAGCGCTCAGCATTTACTTAAGGGCGTGCACATTGTTAAGCTGCCTTAATCACAATTCACCTCAATCATCATTTGAAATCAGATGCGTAGTAACATACACCGATCATTTTTTCGAGTATGTCCTCTTCTCAAAGACTATTCTCAAATTCTCTTGCTCTGAGATAAGGAAGGGAGAAGTATGGGAGAGAAAAAAATGCTAGTCCTTTGAGTTTCTTTGTTAATTGTTTTGCTTGTTTTCGGAATCTCTAAAATAAATTAGGAACTTCAGGGTGAGATGGAAAACCACATGGAGCATTTGCAGCAGCTCAAAGATTTTGATGAAAACTTGGCGTACGAAAAGGAGGCCCGTGCACATGAAATGCAGGAAAAGAAAAGACTCGAGGTATAGAAGGCGCCTACAAAGACGATTGATATTAATGATAATGCTGATGATTTTGATAATGGCAATGATGATAATGATGATGATGATGACGATAATGATGATCATGAAGATGACAATGGTGATGGTGATAATGATGATGATGATGATGTTAATGATGATAATGATAATGATGATGATGATGATGATGATGATGATGATGATGATGGTACATACTTTATTATAATCCATCCCCAAAAGCTTTATCCCCTCATGCCACCCCTTATCAGGTCTTTTCAGATGTACATACAAACATATAACATAGTAATGTGTTGGTGGTAAAAGCGATGATTACGATGACGACATAGTATATAATTTGATGTTCTATTAGTTCTAGTCATAAGGTTATTAATTTTCCCATCGTTTTTCATTCAGGAGGAAAGAGCTCGACTGGCGGAGGAACAAGCAATGAAAGAAAGGGAGGTTAGTTAAAGGCAGATTCCTTGTCGGTCAACAGAGCGTCAGGCATGCGGAGATTTTATTCATAGGACATATAGCTATTTTAAACAGTTATTGGATGAGGTTCTTGTGATATCCAGAATAAACAAGGTTGCGGTAAATGATATCAGCCGAGCCTTATTTTGGATATCACAAAACTGAATATTAATTATTGTTTTTACTGTTTGGAAGAAAATAACGACAGACACACCGTCGCAAGGATATTGATATTAGAAATCATGCATTGCGCGCGCAACCTACAGATTAGTCAGTTATCGGCCAGCAGATCTATAAATAACTAATCTGTAGGTTGCGCTTATTTCCAGAATTAGCTCTAGGCTCTTAGCCAATTAGAAGACAGATAGTGAGTACAGCGTGTAATAATGTCAGTTATTGTCACTTTTTACGTTCCCTTGAGTGAAATTTCTATTGTGGGGGTGGCTGGGCCAATTAACCCAGCTCATGACAGGATCAGCCCCTAAATTATGGTTGAGACAGTTCAGCCTTTTTTATGTCTTTCAATACAAAACTCTTGGATAATCTCGCAATAAAAAATGTCTAATAATATTAACCCTCGGACGTACACGCAAACTAATACCCCCCAACGTGGTACAAGGGGGGAAGGGGTGGATTTAACCCCTCCCAGGAATTTTTGATATGTGGAAAGCCTTTTATCTGCTTAACAAGATGAGGTATATTTTATGGATGGTGGCGCTGCTGGAGGCCTGTGACGTCACCAACAATGCTCGCCATTTTGGCCACTATCTTAAAACCGGGAGAAATAGTAATTTTTTGTGCTTCACATGAAAAATGACACATAAATAAGCACCTTGCATGATTTTAGCCAAAAGATTTACTTTAAGTGTTGAAAGAACTTAAAAAAACCACCTGCTACTTATGACGTCATATCTCGTAACCATAGCAACTGAGCGTTACTAAACTTGTCTCAAAATTTTCGCAACGGATGAACGAGCAGCTACCTCGTCAGGTGCTGATGTTTTATACTCTAGGATAAAACTCAGTGAAACCTTATGGGGGGGAGTGGTATCCACCCCCCTCCCCCACCTAGAATTTCAACCAAACAAGGAAACACGAGAAAAATGTTATAAGTAATATTGTATCAGTTTTTTTAATTGTTTTTTTTTTCTTTGTTGTTGTTATAATTGTTGTCTTTTTGTTGCTGTTCTAGGTTTTTTGTTATTTCATTTTTTTTTAAACTTTTGCTTCAAGAACTGTCACAAAATTCAACATTACGCTCACCATCCGACTTATACCATTACAGACTCTTGTGACCTCAGAAACCTATTGGTAGCCTACCAAAAAAGAGCCTAATATTAGCTTGAAAGCCTGTCACGCTTAATTTTTATTGATTTTATTATTACTATTACTATTATTATTAATTTTTTATTATATTTTTTGTTTATTGTGTGTTTGTTTTTTTGCCCTTTACCATTTCTTAAAATTGTTTTTTTAGCTTGAGACATTGAAAGCTAAGCAGGAGGAAGAGAAACGCCGTCTTGAAGAACAGTTAAGATCTGGCATGGAAGCACAAAGAAGACAGATGGATAACATGATTAGAGCAAACATGGAGGAGCTGCAGAGAGAAAGAGAAAGTGTTATGGCACAGAACAAAACTCTGCAGCAGTCGATCGAGGGAATGCAGAGATCATTAAACGAAAGGAATGGCGAGATTACAAATCTCCAACGCCAGATACAGGAGATTGCTAACCGGCCACCACCCCAACCACCAAAAAAGAAACGGCGCTGTGTTATTATGTAAGGAAAGCATTTTCGCAGTCATCTGAGCGTCAACGCTGTAAAATATCAGGACAGCTGACTTTCAGAAATCCGCCAATGCGTGATTACTGTGGATATATGTAACTTACCCTACCTATTGAGATTTAAAACCGGAAGTTGCGGGGTTGTTGTAGAAATTTAGCATTTGCGGAACTTCGATTCAAACGTCAGTGGTGTAGTCAAATTAAATGCATGAAAGACATTCTTTGAAAATTTAGTGGCTTGTTCCACTGTCCTTTTTCCTTTTCACCTTTTCCATTTCAAACTACAGTGAAACCGGACACCTTCGGGACCTTCGCAAGTGTCCGCTTAATAGAGACCAGGTTGTAAAAATTGCGCAATGTTTGTTAACATTCAAGGGTTACTCTGTACTGTGGTAAAGTTGAATGTTGTTAAAGCACAGGCTGCCCAAGCTCAGTGTGTGAGTTTAATCGTTAACACATGTAGTTTCATATTGCGTAATTTAAAATGGCCGTGAATATAAAGGATTTGTATGGGAATTCAGGTAAAAGATTCAAATCGATAAATATTCGCTAGAATGTTCAATAAAATACGACTTACCGTATTTACTTTGCTTGTTTTTGTTTGCTGTGTGGTTATTTTCATTTCATCTCATTAGCCGAGCAATCCGGCCACTGCAACCGACGCCAAGCGGCAGTTTGTTTTCCAAAATCCAAGACAAAACGACGCCGAAGGGGCGAGTACATTTTCACCACGTCACACGACCGTTGAAAACTTGTCATCGACAATTTTTTATTCGAACCCCGGCTCCCCTCGGGTCGATTTGACAAGAGGGTTCGAAAAATTGTCGATGACAAGTGACGGTGTGGTACCCAGTGAGGCTTAGTTTGTAGTGGAGGCAGGGTTACCAAACGGGTTTTCAACGGTCGTGTGTTGTGGTGAAAATGTACTCGCCCCTTCGGCGTCGTTTTGTCTTGGATTTTGGAAAACAAACTGCCGCTTGGCGTCGGTTGCAGTGGCCGGATTGCTCGGCTAATGAGATGAAATGAAACAAGGACATATTGGCTTGGACTCGGCGTTTGATTTGTGGCTGCTTGGCCATTTCAAGCTGAGGATTTTTCGCCTCTCGCATGGGGCATCCCGAACTGGAGTGTAAAGCCTTGTCCTTTCTCTTACAGTGGAAACTCGGGGTTAAAGGAAATCGCTTAAATCGCAATGGATCGGAAAAATAACCACACAGCAAACAAAAACAAGCAAAGTAAATACGGTAAGTCGTATTTTATTGAACATTCTAGCGAATATTTATTGATTTGAATCTTTTACCTGAATTCCCATACAAATCCTTTTTATATGAAAATACATGTGTTAACGATTAAACTCACACACTGAGCTTGGGCCGCCTGTGGTTAAAGAAACTATCCAGAGTTCAAGTTCATTACCTTTCATCACCAACAATAATTTGTTCATATCTGGATTTTTTAAACCGGGTTAGCAAAAATATCAACTCATTCTACCACTTGGCAATTTAAAACAATAAAACTCGTTCAAAGGCCGTGCGGATGCTCGTCGGAAATTTTGAATTAAACCCCTAAAGGAGACCGGTTTGAGCGTGGCCCAAGCTTTTTTTCACCCGTAAAAGAGACCAAAAATATACATATCAAATATATATTTTTATATTTTTTCGCGTGCAACCCTAAACGAGACCTTCACGGCTAAATATGATGGCGTTTTGCCCAGAACACCCTAAGTGAGACCAAAATCCGAAATTCACACCCCTAAGCGAGACGACTAGCATCATATCCTCATCCCTTTCATATGCCTAGTTCTCCTCCGGGGGGGGGCGATTAAAAGCTTTTATTTGACACCGGGTGGTAAGTTAATGGTCCCAAGATGCATTCCAACAAGTCCAAATTTAAAAGGACACAAGTTTTACAACACTTATTCTGTAATCTGACTTCGAGAAGTTTCAAACCGGTGTCATTTAAGTCTAGTATAGAAATTTTTAAGTTGCTTCTCCGAATGGGGCACTGTTCCATCAGGCGTGCCCCAGGGCACAAAACTTGGCCCTTGGCTTTTCATTTTGATGATCAATGATCTCCACCCTTCGGGATTTGAGGTATGGAAATACGTGGATGACACCACGCTTGCTGAGGTGGTTCCAAGAGGAGGTCAAAGTGGAATGCAAGTCGCTGTTAACGCTGTTGAGCAGTGGTCTACAATCAACAAGCTCCAGCTGAATGCGGATAAATGCAAGGAACTCGTTATTGACTTTAAGAAGGTTAAACATCATTTTGACGCAGTTACCGTGAACTCTCAGGAACTCGAACGCGTAGATAGTATTAAATTGCTAGGAGTTACCATAACCAACACGCTCCAATGGAATTGTCACGTCTTAGATGTAATCCAAAAGGCCAACAAGAGAATATACTTTCTTATATTACTTAAGCGCGCAAATGTTCCAGCACACGATATCATTTGTTTCTGTCTTACTTGTATAAGGCCAGTTCTAGAATATTGTGCCCCCCCCCCTCCTGTACCATCACGCACTGCCTGACTACTTAAGTAAGGATATTGAAGGCATTCAAAAACGTGCACTATCAATTATTTCGCCGGGCCTTTCTTACGATGACAGCCTGTCAATGTTCAACTTGGCATCTTTAGAGGACAGACGTATAGATCAATGTGAAAAACTGTTTCATTCTATGGTATCTAATCAAGATCATAACCTGCATCATTTTCTCCCTCCCAAGAACTATTGTCATTATAACCTCAGAAGACAACGCCACTTTGCAAATCCAGTCATGCGTACCAAGCGTTTTTCTAGCACAATTCTGCCATCTTTGTGCAGGCGTTAGCAGTTTTTTGTATAAAGTTTAATTCATCTACAGTATAATTTTTATAAATTAGAATTCTAAAGTATAATTTTGTAGATTTTTTAGTACATTTTCATATTTGAAGTTTTGTATCAATTGTATTTGTAAATTCATGCAATTCAGGCCTACTCTGGGACCTTAAGTCGCCGTAATTTTAGGCGACTTAAGGCGATTTAAGGTGACTTTAGGAAAATTTGGTCAAAATGTTGCGCGACTTAAGGCGATTTAAGGCGACTTTAGGCGACTTTAGGCAATTTAAGGCGACTTTAGGTGACTTAAGGAGAAAAAGGTGACATTTAGGTGAGTTACATGTTAGTGAATATGTTGCAGTTAATTTTTAATTTCAGTTAATTTTTGGTTTTCCTTTGTTTTAAATTCATTAGCATACATAACCATACCCAGAAACGATGGAAAAATAAAAATTAACTGAAATAAAAATGAACTACAACATATACAAAATCAAAATCTGATAACACTACCTCTCTAGGGACACAATGTTGTAGCATAAGTTAATTCAGTCTTGAAGACATCTACATTAGTCTTCCAAATTTTCAACAATCTCAGCTACCTAATATTTTGAACATTTTTTAAATATCAAGGTAGCTTGTGTTGCAGGTGTATTCTAACCCTGGTTAGTAACATTTGCGAAGCAGCTCTAATATCCTTGTTCTGGGCCCTGACGCGCTAAATGAATTACCAGCATTTTGAGTTTCCCTTCAACATGATTGGCAAATGGACAATGGCATTTTAAACAGTCCAGTCCTGGCATGTTCTCTAATTCTGATACACACACAGGGGGCCCAGAACTAGGATTTTGCCGCTGTTTTGCAGATGGACTTAACCCAGAGTTTAGTTCCACCTGTGGCACAGGCTAATATCAAGGGTGTTGGTTTAGTATTACATTAGCAGAGACAAAATCTGAGTTAGAAGCAACCAAAAGGGTAAATTTTCTCTTGGTCTTTAAGGTGACTCGACCCAGTTTTTTTGGGGGGGTACCATCCTACTTTGAAGCTCTCTGGTATCCCCACCTTTACTTTTATCGTAAGTCTAACACATAGAATGGATAACATATAGATCAATCTACAATATAACATAAAATTTTTGGTGATCGGAGTAAATGTCACGTGGTTATAATGCCACGCCCCTTTGAGGTCTGAGTCGAAAATCTGCTGTTTCCGGCATTTTTTCGTGAAAATCTCTCGGCTACATATAGTGCGCATTAGTGCCTTGCACTGAACCGAGTTTCACCAAAATCGCAAAGACCCAATTCGAGAAATTCAGCGGTTTCCAAATTTAGGTCATAAATAACATGATAAGCAAACTTTAGACGGATCATATCTAATAAACTATGAGATTCACCTCTGTGTTTTGGGCATCCTTATAACAGATGGGTCCTTGCAAGTCAGCAAAACAATTTAGGGCCTTGTAAATGCGCACGATTTTGAGCAAAGCAAACATATAGAAATTATAGTTTTCGCTATTTGTTGACATTTGTCCGCGTTCCAGAGTCAATCTCATGGAAAAAGCATTTCTTAAAAATTCGTAGTTTTTTTTCCGTCAAATGTTTTCAGGGCCACAATTGATTAACTAACTACCCCGACTCTGAATTTCATGGTCATTGAAAAACTGTGACATTACCCTCTATAAGCCCAAACTTGAGTAAACATTGAAGATTTTTAGCATTTTGGGTGAGTTTGTGCTTTGGGAGTTGTCTATTGTTTCTGGTCTGTCATTATAGAGCATTCTTGTTCAGCATGCATGCAATGATTTGGCTGCCTTCCGAATGCTCACCGAGACATGATAATTTAGTATAAGAAAATAGAAGGGATTCCCGTCACGAGATGGTTTGAGTATTGGCTTGCATTAAACTTATGAAAAAATGATATTTTTTTAATAGTTAGTAGATTTAGTGTGTAGCACTTCTTGATTTTTTTGCAAAGGCACAAAAAGCACGAGAATTGATTAAAAATTGTGAGTTAAACCTCTACATATCACGCGATGGCCTGTCTCACTGTACCAAAATTATCATATCTGGGTAAGCATTCCGAAGTCAGCCAAGTGCGGTCATTGCACGCGTGCTGAACAAGAATGCTGTATAATGACAGTTTATTAGATATAATCCGTGTAAAGTTTGCTTATCATTTTCGCATAAATTATGACCTAAATTTGGAAACCGATGAATTTCTCGAATTGAGTCTTTGCGATTTTGGTGAAACTTGGTTCAGTGCAAGGCACTAATGCGCACTATAAGTAGCCAAGAGATTTTCACGAAAAAATGCCGGAAACAGCAGATTTTCGACTCAGACCTCAAAGGGGCGTGGCATTATAACCACGTGACATTTACTCCGATTGCCAAAAATTTTATGTTATATTTAACAATTATTCTTTGAAATCGAGGTGAATAGTGGCAAAATATTTACCGAGCCGCGAAAGCGGCGAGGTAAATATTCCCAAAGCCACTATTCACCGAGATTGAGAAGAATAATTGTTTTAGTATATACACACGAAGTGATCTCAACAAAATCAGAAAGGAAACCATTCAAAAGTAGGATTTGATTGACAGATCAAATCACGCGTAAGTTTAAAAATAGATCTTTGCAGAATTTTCAAACATGGCAATTCACAAGTTTACTCATTTCGCAAACAACAGCGTAATGGCTTCAATGGAATCGCTAAAAGTTTGAACTGTTTCCTTACCTGAGAAAAAAAAAAGTAGAGCTGTGTTGTTTTCTGTTGACTCGCCAAGTTTATAGCCAAAAGGGCATGTTGTGTCGTTCTTCGCATGAAGTGCTGACAAAAATGGCGGCTCGGTTCTTGAGGTAAGAGGTCGCCTTCCTGTATCATTCTTTTTCCTGTTTACTTGAAATGTAGAATTTCTGCAAACATTTCCTTTTAAATTTGTTTGTCATAAATAAACTTCGATTTTTGAGCCAAAATTTTCTTCTTAGAAAACGCTGAGTTCACGAAACGGCTTCTTCTCTGTGAATACACGGAGTTGTAAACAATCCATCGAGCACAAAACTCCTGCTACAGTAAATTGAAAAACGCCGTATTGAATCCTTCCAAGTCTTTTCTTGCCTTAAAAAAAGTCAGCCCTAGGATTTTGTCGACTTTTAAAAGATCGTTCTCTAAAAAAAAACGGGAAAAACACCGAGCTCACACATTATCCACTCGCTAGGAGGTGAATATTGTTGAATAGTCCGAGATAGCGAACCAATCAGATTGCTTAAATCACCAAGATCACTGAGTGTGTATATACTAATGTAGATTGATCTATATGTTATCCATTCTATGTGTTAGACTTACGATAAAAGTAAAGGTGGGGGATACCAGAGAGTTTCAAAGTAGGACGGTACCGCCCCCAAAAAACTGGGTCGAGTCACCTTTAATAAATGCATTATTTTATAATATAAGGGGCAAAAAATCAATGCTTCCTGCATTTCTTTTTCTAAAAAATAAAACCCTAAAAGTAGAGTATTTCAATACATCTCTGTAAAATACTGTAAGCCGGTTTGTAGCAAAAACTTTATATTGAAGTGTCTTTTTTTCATAATTTGACAACAAACATTTAAGTAATTAATTTAAAACATCTAAAATCACTTATCGATATCGCACATTATGGAAATGACGATCCCCATTGTATGTCTTGGCAGTTGCTCTGCCAATGCTTGTCCCCACACGTTTGGCTAAGAGGATGTTTTTCCAATTGAATTCAAAACAAACAGTTTGTAGTTCTCACCGTATATATATTGCTCCCTTCCTGTCTCAGTCAAACAAAACACTTCCAAATACTTGCTTCGCTAGTGAACCGTACTCTCTTATCCATGGTCTCTTTGGAAACTTTCCAGTCGGATTGATTTCATGAGTGCTTTTATGCACCAGCAGAAACAAGTAAGCTTAGCTTCAACCAACCTTGCTCTGTCTGTTCCACGCGGCAGCGTTTACGCTCTCAGTACAAAAGGAAGCATTATGCGTCATGTTTAAACCGATGGCAGTACCAAGTGTAAATGTTTCTATTATTATGTCAGAAATTTCCATTTAAAAGGAGATCTTTAAACGAAAACGCGACGTACAATTGACAACAACAAGAGCACATTTCTATCCGCCATTTTGCTTCTCCCAGAATTCCACTGCAGTCGCAAGCTAATTTCCATTGTTTCTCGGTCCCGCCCTCTCCCCGCCTCCAGACCAGTAAGACACTTGATCAAAACACAATACTTTCTGGGCGGCCATAATGTGGAGGAAAGAACAGTATTATTTCGCTTTTCTACGTTTTTCATCAATAATGGTCGATTACATCAAATCGTTTGGCAGGGAGCAATCACGACAACATAAACAAAGAGCAGTTTTACGTACCTTCGATGTACAAAGCTTGAATTTCTGTCTGGAAGGGAAGACCTAAAGAGACGACTGTACAAGCTAAGCTAAGCTAAGTGTTTAATTATATTTTGTTCAGGGTGCAAAGAAAGTCAGCTTTACAGCTTGCCTAGCATACACTAGCCTGAAAGCCATTTTGGCTAACCCCAATTTTTTTTATGAATGGGACTGATTACAGTTCTTCTGTAATCTGAATTCCCTAAAAAAACTTTACTTGCCAGCCAGGCAAGTTAAAAACGCAGTTCACTAGCCCAATCATAAAATCCAGTACCACAGGGCTATTGCCTGGACACTACTCTGTCTACTCTCTTTGCACACTGTTTAATGTAATTTAGCCAGAATTTTAACCTTTGAATGCCTTTTTAAACAATATTTTTCCTCAGAAATATGAGACAAACCTCCTGGATGAAATTAATAAAATACCTGTACATTGACTGGATAAAGTTGTGTACTATATGTTGTCATTTTTACATAAACAATACAGGAATGATTATTCTTGTATTGCTTATGACTAATTATTACGTGTAGTAAATTGTGTAAAGTAATTAAATGTATAAATTAGAGGGCTGGAGAAGAAATTAATGGGTCTTAAGTCACCGTGGGAGTTTTTTGTGGGGGGTGGGGTGGGTCTGTGGCTAATATTATTGAACACGGGTTATTACACACTTCATGAGAAATCATGCATTCTGGAAATAGAAAACTAAAAAAGTAATGACTACAAGACAATTTGAACCTTGTTAAGATTTGAATGATTTAGTGACTTAAGGCAACTAAAGGCGACCTAAGGTGACTTTAGGCGACTTAAGGTGATTTTAGGCGACTTAAGGCGATTTTAGGTGACTTAAGGCGACTTTGGGCGACTTTAGGTCCCAGAGTAGGCCTCAATTCAGCCTTGGTGGGCTGCCATATGATTTGAATTAAAGCTATCTATCTATCTATCTAGGCATCCAACATTGCTTGTAGAGCTGAACTTGGTAACTTTCCCATGATCATTGATATAAATAAAAAGATTCTAAATTACTTAGACTATCTGAGAGGTAAAGATGAAGATTCTATAGTTAAACAGGCCTTACAAATTTCAATTGACCTTCATCATAACGGAAAAACTAGCTTTTACTCTAATCTCATGAAAATGTTGACTACTATGATCTAAACTATGACTTTTCCTGTAATTTATTGAGTGACTCAATAGCTAATAGGTATATCGGCATAATGAAAAATAAATACGTCTCTTACTGGAATCAGACCCTTCAACAATCACAAAAACTCAGTTTTTATTGTACAATCAAAGACGACTATAGCCCCTTGCCGTACCTAGTTTTAACAAGAAAAAACCCTTCGAGAAAAGCATTAGTTAGATTTAGAATAAGTAGTCATCAACTTAGAATTGAAACAGGTAGATACGAAAACATTCCTGGCAATGAAAGGATATGTCACTTTTGTCCAAGTAACAAAATCGAAGATGAAAATCATTTCTTACTAGATTATAAGGCTTATTCTCAGATCAGAGACATATTTTTCTCCAAACTAGAAACTAAAATACCTGACTTCAAATCACTTTCACACGATACTTTAATATCTATCTATCTATCTATAGATATATGCGAATTCGAAATGCATTTGAAGAATTTTTTGTTTGCACTCTAATCTGGTAACGATAACATAATTTCTGCCTAATTAGGGCTAGCCTGTTCCAGGCTCCGAGATAGTTAGGTCGTCCGCTAAATTGAGGGACGGGGAGTTTTCCCTCACTATCTGAGAGCCTGGAAGAACCTGGTAGGCCAGGTCTGAAAGTAGGTGTGGATTTTACAGATCTGGTCTGAAAACGGGTGTGGAAAATGACATTTTTTGGTCTGAGATATGGTCAGGATTTGGAAAACCAGGCGGCTCCCACCAAGAATTCCCAGGAGGACCCCCCTCCGGGGGTCAGTAGCAGGATGTAAATCATGTCATCATAATCATATCATCGCTTAGAATATAACGTTAGATGATCATTTCGGTTATTATTCACGTATAGGTGAGTAGTCCCTCCCACCTAAATACTAGGCTTTTTTACATCGCGAAATGCCCCTATATTGACCTTCTCGTCTGAATTCTTCATTTCCTCATATTCCCATTGCTTTATTCGAAACGGAATAGTGGCATCTATAAGAATTTTACTCTGACTAACGCCAATACTATCTTTTTTATTCGGTGCTTCTTATTGGTTTAAAACTATAAGTTAATTCTCTTCTAACTCCTTCTTTTATATATAAAATTAAAAGTTTTAGTTGCCTTGAGTAGCGGCATACCCTTCCTTGTCCGTGCAGTATGCTTTCGTTTTCCGCATGACGGTGACGTTGGGGAGAATAGACTGCATGACTCATGAAGGAATGTTTGTGTGTGAGGCAAGGAGCTGGGACTAGACTACTTCTTCATGCTAGTCCGCTTTCCGTTTCTCTCAGTTTTACCTTTCTAAAGCTGTTTTTGCATACATAACCCGTAGTCCGCGTTTTATACCTAGTCCGTGATTTACGCTCAATCCGGAGTATCATTTTATACCTAGTCCGTGTTTTAGACCCAGTCCACAGTCCGCAGTCCGTGGTTTATACTGACCGGTTGTATATTTAAGCAATAGACCACACTTTCTATGGGCTTACCGGCGTGATAACCCACGCGGGATGTTGGGAGAACACGAGAAAAGCTTGTAAATCACGAGCCGAAGGCGAGTGATTTACAAGCTTTTTGAGTAACATCTCAAGTGGGTTAACCCGGTAAACCCATAGAAAGTGTGGTCTATTGCTTTTATAAAATAACCTTTAGTAAAGTGGAGTCTTTTAGGTAAAAAATATTGTTTTAGTACCGTGATCGATTTATGTCTTCTCTCTAAAGTCATCATAAGCCAATCATGACTCACGAAATAATAGCGCAGAACTTTCTCAAAACTCAGTTCAGTCAAACAACAAACAGCAGCACTTCAAAACACGAGTTTTTGCACTCGTTACATGATAACTTATGAAAGCTGTTTTACAGGAAAAGTCAACACATATTCATGCGAACGTACAATGAAACAATACGTTCATGATTTGTTTACTAAAGAAGTAGAAAATTGAACATCAGACTGTACGCAGCTGTATTTTGTTGAGTCGATCCGTAAGAATTTCGTGCTTACAGACGGAACTGGCAGCTATTGTAATGGAGGACTTCATTCACTTTTTTACAAGCCGCAGTGGTTTAAGATCTGTTTTCTGGGCTTTATCATGATCAAGAAACGCTGCGACGTGGCTGCATTTGCGAAGTTGTCGCATGTAACTTTACATGCACGTACAGTCACCGATGGAAATCTGTCAGTGGTGGAGAAAGGCCGGTTTTTTTGCCGTAGCCACATATTGGCGTTAATATTTGTCGATTTGTGAAGTCAGGTGGTTTGAGGTAGGTTATGGCATCGATATCACCGAATAATTTGTACAAATGTTGGAGAAAACCAGCCCGAAACTCTGACATCTTTCATCATCGTTGGCAGCTTGTTTACAACCTACAGCGGCCGATTTTGTACCATATCTTGATCAGAGATCTCTTTTTGGAACAATTTCTTTCATTAAGGAATTTAATTTTGACATAAAATAAATCAAGAATGCTAAAACTATCCGTTTTGTTGCTGGTTGGCATATGGTTAAGTTTTCCTATAGACTTTCTACACAAGAAATTCACGCTGTTGTTGTCTTTCTCTGCGATTTGGCATCGTCGTGAAATGTAAACTGCTTTCCAGCTTTGTACTTTATAACTTCTAAAGCTATAGCAGTAGCGAATTGTGACGCTCAGTAATAAAATGTGGAAACCAACGCTTTGAATATTTAGAAGGGCTGGGTAAGTAACTTGTTCTGTTTTTTAGCCTTTCTAAAATCGTTGTTTGCAGATCAATAGCCAGTTTTGTTTATGGCTCGTGGTCCGGATGCCTTTTTCTATGGGTTTACCGGTATAATAAACCATAGGTTTTTGACCAATCAGATCACGCGTACTATCTCTGCTATTTTATAATTAAAAATATATTGATGGTCTAGACCACTGTTCAGATGCTCCGGAAACAATGGGGACATTTTTACTTCCCAAGTAAGCCAGTGATTATGTACAGCTCGTCAATAATCGAGGAATTATATAATCAATCTTTATCGTAGGCCGACTGGTATCGATGAAGCAAATACTATATTCTCTAGCCGCTTCAGTACAAGAGGTGGCCACTCGCTGTGAACACAATATTTAAAAGTGATGTTAAAAGAGATGCTTAACATTGTTCATTTGCTCGAATGAACTTCAGTATTACAAGGATACTGTACAATCATAACATTTTGGTTTTTGAAGCTATAACTGATATATGAAAATCATGTATGTGAACTGCGGAGTGAAGAGTTATGTGAATGAAGATCATCGCAGTTATATACGCAACTTTTGTAGTTGCGAAAAGAAAGCCTAAAAAAAAAATCTGGCTTGCACGGAATTCGAACCCTTGACCATTGCGATACCGGTGCAGCGCTCTACCAATTAAGCTAACAAGCCAACTGGCAGGGTCCCAAAGGGGGGGTCCCTGGAGCCCTGGAGCCCTGAAATTTCTGCTGTGGAGCCCGGAGCCCTACCATTTTACTGACTGGAGCCCTGATCCTTTTTTGGCTGTGGAGCCCGGATCCCAAAGACATCTTGTGCTGAGCCCGGAGCCCAGCATTTTCAAGTTTGATCATTCGAGTTCCCAGATTGCATTGATTCTTGATTACTGCCTTTTTGTGTTTGCTTGTGCGTGTTAACGGGCATAAAGAAACAGAATGTGACGAGAGGACAGTACATAATACAAGTATACGCGGTTATCTCAGTTTATAATGATATGCAACAACTGTCCCACGCACATCTTCATCTTCTTCTTAAGCAATTAATGCTCTCTCTGTGGTGGTTGTGGCGTCACCTTCATCCAGTGCCAAAAGCATAGTTTTCTCATACCACTCCTCTTCAATCCTGACAGTCCCCTCTTCTACATCTTCGCGTGGAATTGAATACTTGAGAGTTCCTTGTGACACAACAGTCGTGTTCTCGATGCCAGATTCGGTAAAATGGAATGGCAAAAGGTCCTCGAGGAACCAGAGACAGTCGTACGTCGTACCTCTCTCGCGTTTCAACATGAAACTCCACCGATGGCAGGCCTTGTCTGTCCCCAGTTTATATAAACACGCGGTTGCATCAAGCAGATCTGCCTCTTTTAACTCGCTTGATTCAGTCATCTCGGAATATGAAACGAAAGCAACAACAAGGCGAACTGACCGAGCGGTCTGAGCGGTCGATAATAATAATAGATAATATAACCGGCTGCTTGGGTTTAAAAAATTGATCAGAATTGCTGACTTTTTTATTTGCGTATTTGATTTAGCGTTAAAAATGGAATTTTTACTTATCAAGATTGTAGATCAGAGTGGAGCCCGGAGCCCTAAAGCAGATGATGTGGAGCCCTAGAGCCCTGAAATTTTCGTCTTGGAGCCCTGGAGCCCTGCATTTTTAAGGCCGGAGCCCTGGAGCCCTAAACCCCTTTGGGACCCTGAACTGGGAGCAGGTCGCTGAATTGGTTGAATTGGTTGAACCAATTCAACGACCTGCTATCAGTTGGCTTTGTTAGTTTAATTGGTAGAGCGCTGCAACGGTATCGCAGAGGTCTAGGGTTCGAATCCCCTACAAGCCTGAATTGTTTTCAGGCTTTCTTTTCGGAACTGCAAAAGTTGCGTATATGACTGTGATGATCTTCATCCATTTAATTTTGGTTTTTAGGAACAGTGTCTTTTTTTCTAGTTTAACGATCCAAAGTTTTTTCCCTTTTACGGTTGCTCGACACCAATGGCAATTTATAAAGTGAACACAAGCTCAATACAGAGTTTGAAGAATAGACTACTGTTGGACGGAAGTACCGTATTTATTCGAATAAGCGCCCAACCTCGAATTAGCGCCCACCTCGAATAAGCGCCCATGCTAAAGGCAGAAAAAGTTAATAAGCGCCCAGCCTCGAATAAGCGCCCACCCCACCCCACTCCCTCCCACAATAACTCCAATAAGAGATAATAAGAGACCTTCCCGGAGACGGAGTTTTCTTCAGAGTATTTTACAGAAACCTTGCTTTGTCACATCTTCACTTTTTGTTGGTACCATTTACTGTTTGGTTGTAAAATATACTACTACACTGGCTGAGAATGGTGAAAATTTAATAAGCGCCCAGCCTCGAATAAACGCCCACCTCGAATAAGCGCCCACTCTCAAGGTCCAAAAATTTAATAAGCGCCCAGGGCGGTTAATCGAATAAATACGGTAGTCCTTTCGTGACTTGGTCGCTCGATCGGCCGTTTGGCGATCCGTTTCGCTCGGTGGCTTAGCGGCTGCGCTCAGTTTACAGCTTTTGTGCTGTGAAGACTGTGAACTTGTGGCTTGTTTAATCATTCCATTGTGTTTGCATTGTGTTGTGCCTTAAGGGCTAAAAAAAAAAGAATCTACGCGAATGTCGAAATATCTATAGTTAGTATTGAAGAGCGGGCCAACAAGCTGCCCTATGACATGATTTCGCATTCAAAATTAATTACTTGCGAAGATTTGTTTCCTGATGCCTATCCGACTCCTTATATTCCAATTTTAAATTTTTTTTTGTGGTGTAAACAAATGTCATAAATGTCACATTTGCTGCTTAAATATTAAATGAATAATAGACAATGGTTTCAACAAATTCTAATTCCGTCTATTTCGCTTCAATGCGAATAGGTGGTTTTCATGCAATCTCTGGAGACACAAATAACAATGGTGAAATGAACAAATGCTGGTGGACGACCAAAACGAGCTAATGAGCGATCTTTTGTTTACCGTCCACCAGCATGGCGGCGATAACGTAACGTGAAAACCACCTATAATTTTTTCAGTGTTTGATAATCACGCATTTTGTAGAAAATATCGCGTACAGTAGCCTCAGTGATTCTGTGTGGAAAGCAAAGTTTGAAGTGTAATGAGCTGTTGTATTTCTCTTCGAGAACGTTGTGGACGGTCGTCACACTCCTGTGGGTCTTTCTTGCTTATGCGTGTAATATGAGCTCAGTGTCACGCAATCAAGAGTAAAAAACGAAATTCATTAAATAAAGTCAATAAAGTCAATTTTTTCCCAAGCTAGTTCTTACATAGACGATAATTAGTACAAATTTAGGCTATCGAGGTACTTAAATAGATTGTTATTTTCTAGAGAAAAAATACATTGTTGCTAAGAGCATTTAGTGGTATTCAGCTTACACAATGTATTCCGTACGTAAAATCTGCACACCATTCATTACATTGCAGTTGGAGCGATAAGGCACCTGTATCTTCAAAAGAGGATCCGGGGTGTTGAATTATCTTATTTGTTCAATTGTACAGAATATTTTCCATAGATTTTAGAAAATAAGAACCTGTTTCAAATCAGTAAACTAAACATGTTTTGTATAAAGGGGGACTAAGTGGTAGCCTAACAGGTCCTTAAAAACCTGGTTCTTAGTCACGGCTTTTTACTGTATTTTTAAGCGTGTAAGGAGAAAATGATATGTAGTCTTGCCAAGACCCAGGTCTGTGCAGTTTTTGTGCGAAACATATTCGGAGAAAAGATTTAACAAAGTTGATCGTATCGTGCTTTGTTGTCATTTAGTTTGCCATGAAAGCAAGCATTTATCTCCTGAGGGCTCTTGATCCTACTGAGCGTTCAATATTCTTAGTATTCCTGTACAATGATTATTTAGCAAATCGCAGAGATAAAATCCTGGTTTAGTCAAATGATAGCTTTCTCGGTTGCTATTATACTTTAAATGTCGCGTCACGAAAATGTTATACCGGAGCTATTCTTATGTTGTTTTGGTCTACTAATAGCTACCGTAAAATTTCGAAAATAAGACCCGGGGCTTATATTTTTCAATGGCCCTTTTTGAGGGGCTTATTTTTGGAGGGGCTTATCTACGGAGGGAAATTTGCGTTTACAAATCGATTGGGCTAGCCTTATAGTTCGAAGTAAATTTACCGTTTTTGCTTTGTTTTATTTTGTATTTGAGGGCAATTTTTTAAGTACAAGCCCCCGGGGGGCTGGGCTTATATTGGAGGGGCTTATACTTGGAGGGGCTTATTTTCGGAATTTTACGGTATATGTGTACCAATCAACGGTTGAGGCTGTCGTTGTTCACGTAGCGTGGCAATGCAAAATTGATATGCAATGCAATCGCACAATTACTCGTAACGCTCAATTTAAAATCAGCAATGATGATCCTATTCTATCCATTTTGTAATACAGTTTGGATCTGAGACAGCTTCAGACCTGCCCCAGGAAGTCTACACTGATCCTGCTTTCTTTTGGAACATTGTGTTTAGTGATTACTGTTCTTATACATCGTGGAATACATGGCAAGTTTGGAGTAGGAATTCATGGACTAAGTGTGGTCTTCTTGGGATCACTCCCTTTTTTCGCCTTATTCGTTTTACGGTTAAGTCAACTAAAACTGAGGTGGTGTCCCTCATTGGCAATAGCTCAGTCACTTTCGATATGTTTGGTTGTATACTACCTTTCAAGTAACGGCCTTTGGTGTGCGCAACATCCACACGTGACGCGCGCATTGTGCGCAAAACTTGTCCAGTTTAAGTCGTTCGCGGCGTCCTCAAAGGTAACTTTTTGGTGGTTGACGCTGGGTGACCTCTTGGCTGTTCACCGAGGCCGTGTCAGGCCAATTCCATGGGAGCACGATGTTGATATTTGTATCACACCTGAACAATATCCACTATTTGAAAAAGCTCTCAGGTCAAATGCAAATTACTTCCAACCAAAGGCCGAATGCCTGGAGTCAGGACATTGTTATCTACCTATCGATATGGCAAAGCTTGGGCTGACAACCAGGGAAGCAGAGGGCGTGAACGTGGATATCTGGACTTGTCCGCAACTTTCTGGAAGTATAAAGCGTGTTTTATATTGCAATGACTTTATGAATGTACCTGGATCCCTTCCAGAAAGGCATGCTATATTGTCAAAACATTACGGAAACTATTCTGCCGTCAAATATGCACACCACGCTACCATGTGCAGAATCTGGAACGGTTTACTGATTGGACAAACCATGCACGTAGACTTTACGTTATTTGGTGTTCGTACAAGTCCGCAACACATATACAAAAAGAAGCACTTCAAGTGTACTGGAGCGGTGAAATATGACCGTCCGGGTGAGTGTAATCCTGAATAAAACCATCTGTTGACAGTGAGTGACTTTTCAACAACCTTTGCGCACGGTAGTCATCTTCAGAGTCAAAGTGAGTTGAATCACGTCAGTTGATGGTATTAAACTCTTGTTATGGATCTGATTGGTCAAATAAGTCGCGATTTGATATAATAGAGGATTACCGAGGCCCTGCAAACTAGTTGTAGTTACATAATGGCTTGGTAAATCACACTTTGTGAACAGTTCAGAACCATAAATTATAATGTACTATTGAATATTTGTTGCTTTTTTCCTTTTATCTACGGAAGGGTTATTTTAGAGAAACATGTGTATCTTATAATACTTTTACCAGTTGTTAAGCTTTATAGCTTAAAATCCAAGTTTTCCGCTAAAATGGTCTCCAGAAAAGTGAATATCTTATTATTTAGCAATTAAAGAATGAGGCTGAGTAGGATATGAGGAATTAAGCGGATCGAGGAAGGTGTTATCCTTCCGAGATATCCGCTTAGTTCTTCATATCCTTCGAAAGTTGAATTCATTAATTGCTTTCTTATTTATCAAAATATTTTCAAACACTTAAAGAGAACATGAGCTTTATTTTCACAAATTTCACACCCTCTAGCAATAAACTGAGAGCTAAAGTTATTTTCACTCCGTAAATTTTGGTGAAATGTATAAATAAAATCTCTCCGTCAGAAATTTAACAGACGTCGAGGTAAAAAAAAAGATCAAACCTGTTTACGATAATTTAATGCGGTGTTTACAGAAATGTTAGTGTGCAGTTGTAGAAATTAAACTGCTTTGTACTTTGGTTGCAGTGGTTGTGAGTTTGAACGTTCAGGTCTCGTAAAATGAATTCTTCTTGGGAATTTGTTGGCAGTCCAACTTCCTCATTTCGATCATTTTTCCCTGCTTCAGAAGCCACGACATTGTTTTTGTTGTTGTCAATTACAGCCATAAGAAGGCTGGCCGCCATGTTTGTTTTTGTGTTTGCATCGGTTTTGCTGTAGGTTTTTATGCTGCTTTCGTTTCTGTGTCCGCTTACCGACATGATGTGTCGCGCTTTCAAATCCACTTCTGTCGAGTACAAGTTATGGTCGTCGCTCTGACTGAATGATTTTTGTATGTTGTTGAGAACTCCGCTTGGTGTGAGGTGACTTTCATCTTCTTGCCGAGATGACTTTGGTCGCTGAAAAAGGTATTCATTCATTGGACTCAAGACACTCAAATATTTTTCAAAGGATGACACCGGGCAAAAAGGACTATCGTTTGCTATCATCATTCCTCCTTCTTTAGCTTGAACATCGTGTGATTTTTTGTTAGTTCATCGGTTGTTTCCACAACACAGCGTTTTCCTTGCGAGTTGAATTTTATTTCGAAGTCAGTCTTTTTAAGCTGGCAAAGATTCTGCCGACCACGCCGACAGAAAAATAACATTATTTTAAAGAAAACCTTGTTTTGTAGAGTGCTGGGTTTTCCGTATTGAAGACACCGCATCGATACAATTTCTTTATGTCTTGTCAGCAATTGTACAGTTTTCGCTAGCTTGCTTCTTCAGCTCTACGCACTGTGCTTTATAAATTCGGTTGGCTTCGTTAAGTTCCGTATCCTTTATAATGTCTATACTTAGTTCTTGTTTGAAGTATCTACACAAAGCAAATCTCATGGAACAAATGGAGCTCTTTGAGTACATCTGTCCATCTTTCTTTCTCGCCTCGACGCAAAATTTTCGTAAAACTGCCGCTAACTCCACTGCAGTTGAAGGATTTCTGATATTTTTCTCCTTGAGCTACGATTCAAAAATTAAGCGATGGTGTTTCGTCAACTTTTTGGTATTCTCACTGTCTTTATCATTAAGTGACTGGGTAATATTTTCTTCGCTCAAACTTGTAAACCTACTCGTAGCCATTTCTGATGTTTGTCTGCCAAAAATAACACAAGCTCGTCCCCAGGTCCTCTCGGTTAACGTGCCTTAACCTACGAAAACGCTGCATTTGTGACGTCATTTCTTCGTTAAACACAAAATTCTTCCAAATTTGGTCATCGGTAACTGGTTATGGTGAATTAAACGTGTGCTTTTAGCCAATCAGAATCGGGGAAATATTTTGAATGAATAATAAAAGAAAATAATGCTTCAGGAAATTAATGTGAATCTCAATAATTCACGTCAAGTTTTGTAAACGTTAATATTCTCACGATTAATTTAGGGTAGCGTTAATTTTCGCGACCTTAATTTTCATGATTTTGGCCCCAAATTCTCGATACACTTCTGACATTCATTGATTCATAAAAAGGAGGAGTATGTCAGGGTGAAGCTCCGCCGGTATCAGTGAGACTGTGATGAACCCTCGAAGTGGACAGATTTATTCGCTGGATCCCCTTCGTGTGTTTATGGAAAGAATTACTGAGAAAGTTTCCATTTTGGATTATACGTTTAACTTTGTTGCATTTGTCTCAGCAAGTTCAACCTCTTTCCCAGGTTCTCTCTCCTACCCGTCGATCTCTCTGGCTCCGTAGGAACGGGTAGGAGAGAAACCTGGGAACGAGGTTGCAACAAGTTTTGTTTCTTTGAGAACGTCGCGTTAATTTCCTTCATTTTGAAATATACTCTTTAGCGTTAGTTTCCTTTACGAAGTCGTTTTCCATTATATTCGCGCTAATTTAAGTCGCCTTAATTTACAATACCTTAATTTAATTTATAATAAGGTTGCCTATCTACTTGACTTTAGGACTATAAGTTGGTGACTTCTGTCAGAGAAAGAAAAATCGAAGCGCGACACCTGACGTCACAGATCCTCATGAGACAGAACGCTTCACAGAATTACCACGACTTGAGTAACGGCGGACGGGTTTGGACGAGTGCCAGCTTTATATCTTTATACAGAGTTGATTGATAGCAGATGCACGTAATTATAAATTAAATTACATTTTGAAGTATGAAACAAAACTTTTGGTCGTAGTAGCACTTTCCGTGTGCCCGAAATAACGGGTATTGAATATTTCCACTACAGTTTGGAATTCACTTACGGAAATAACGATTGAGTGTTCATGGTTAATTCAGTCAAATCAAGTACAATATAAGTACAATTTATTATAAGTTCTACGAGAGCAATTCACGAAGGTACTTATGAAGTCCTCGTGAGCATATGAGAAGGGGACTACTGAGGAATAATATTTTTACATTCAGTGTCATATGAAAAATGTCATGTGAAACATCGATCAGCAAAGTTTGTCTTGCTCGAGCTCTCTTAGTTTTTTATAATAGTTACTTTGAAGATAGTTTTTGGCCGGAAAAAAAAAAAACTATTGGACGCAAGAGCTCCATTTGGCGATGACGTTTTCAAATATCCGGCTAGACGCGTACTTGTTTATTTTTAAATTATAATTTTGTTCAGGTACCTTTTTTAATTGTTGAAGTCATACTTGGGCTCGCTTGTTGTCCGCTAAAGCCAGAACTGTTACATTAAGAACTCGCGTGGCTCATTGAGAGCTTTACCATTTTGCTTATAATAAGAGGGTGATTGTAAGCAGAGACATAGCCATATCGACTACTAGACCAAGAGTAGAGCAGAATTTCTAAAATCTGACGAAAACAAGTGGGGACTGTAAGAGCCTCTCTAAAGGTACCTGTGGCGTTGGACGTTGCTCTTTACGCATGTTTCCCATCAACTCGTCCGTTTTTGAACGAAATGGTCGCTTGCATATCAAGAATTTGTTATTGTTGTTGTTTTTGGTAGCGCTAACTTGAGTAACCACCTCAAAGACCACGGAAACAAGAAAATATAGGGAAGAAATAGGCAAAACAAAAGCTTTGAACGAGTATGACACTTAAGGCAAATTTCTTTGCTGTCATCGCGCGATTAGTTTTTTAGACTTCAAAAATAAATTGTTGCCGCTTTTCTTCCTTACCATCCAATGCATATAGCACTATTAATCGGCAAATGCTACCTGAGTTTAAAGCTGAAACCTTAAATTACTTAATACAGGTGCAGTGTCCTTGCCAATTTCAACATAAAATCATAGGAACTGTGCCTTTTGACCAAATTTCATAAAGTTCTGTCTTTATTTGTTTTGGTTTCCTTGTCCATGGAGAATTGAAAGCACTCCCCTACCAATCAACAGCTGCATTTTGAAACTGTTTGAGAAGTAGTTAAAATGTATTTAAATGACTTAAAAACCATTTTTACCTCAATTAGAAGTTTTTCTTTGTATATATATTTAACGGATAAAACCGTCTCAGTCGTGACACTCTTTACACTCGCCCAAATGATTGCTACCTTAACTCTTTATTCCGTAAATTTGTTTTATTCTTTGCGGTATAAATATATTTTTAGAAAATGTAATTGTAACAAAGTTAATGCAAACACTTGCTGCTGGTTGAAATTGCGTCGTCAGTCGGGGGCTGCCTTGCCACTGCTTTCTTGCTGCATATTTCCGACAGACAGTGGATGTTCACAGGCTGGTGCTTCTACTCGACGGGGAATTTATTGTTTGTACAATATTCTGTTAATTGCTTCAATAACTTCTCTAGTGCGCCAGATAAACACAAGTGGATGCAAAGATGTCGTGAGAAAAACAAACGTAACCATAAATGTGTACAAAATTTTTGCATGTTCTAGTTTCTCTGTGCAGACATAAACTTTACAAAAGCTAACAACAGTTATTGGGACATAGCAAACCAAGATAAGGACAATGATAAAGAGAACTGTGCAGGCATACTTTTTAAACCGCGCAAAGTCAAATAAATTTCTCTGGCAACTGTCTGTAGAATTCCAGGGTCTGTGTTGGCTTATTTTGAGTTGATGCCTTCGAACGAGCAAGAGGATTTTGACGTACACGGCCACGATTATGCACAAAAAGGCAAATTTAACTGACTTGGTCATAAGAAGAAAGGTCTTGTCACTCAGCCAGAATCTAGTCATGCTCATTGATATCGAAACACAAAAGGCAACGAACACAGCTATGGTTATTCGTTTCTGTGTCACTACCTCCTTGTATCGCAGGTGAAGATGAAGTGATAGATAACGATCAATTGTCATAAAAGTTAACAGTGCGAATGAAACATTGAGAGCAACCTGTGAAAAAAACTCGAACGTCAACCGAGCACCGCAGTATATTTTAAAGTTTTTGGTTATTTCAGCTGCCTTGAAACCGACAAATGCTGGTCCAGCGATAAATCCCAAGATAAAGTC